AAATACGATACTCATATACATATTCAACAAGAAATAAAAAGAAAGAGAAAATATACACAAAAATGCATTTGCTACCTAACAAGTATTCTCCACTTTGCGAATATTATGCTATGGGTTCGAAATACAAAACGGTTCTTCTGTGTATGTTCATACGGAACGTGTGTATTATTTCGGGTACGATATTTCTTCTTCCGTTTTTTTTTTCAATTCGGTGCGAGCCCTTGACGGATTTTCTAACTTCAACCACGTAAAGAGGATGTTCGTATGTGTGCGCTCCGCTTGTATTCATGTAAAATTCGAATCGAATACTCGCGAATTTTAGGTATTCGTATGTATTGTCAAACGTACATATATACCAACACACACATGCAAACAGTACTGTCTCGTATACAGACAACAGAAAATAATCAATACATCTCCGATGATGAAAAAGAGTGTACGGGAGAGAGTTCGAGAGAGAGAGAACGGGAGAACGAGAAATTGAAAACGAATAGGTCTCGTTTGGATCCTCTGTTTTCGTCCGTTTCTGATTTTGAATTGATTTCAGTGAAATCGAATTTTTCCTCATTTTCCTTTTTGCCAAGTGATACGACGACCATTTTTTTGGACAGGCCTGTGGTTCTACTCTTCTTTCTCTCTCTTTCTCTTCATTTCTCTACCGTTTCAAAGATAATGTTATACCTGTTCTCTACATTTTATTTATACACACAGATGAGAGAAACTTGAACTCATCATGCTCTTAAATGGATATCCAATATATTATGTTTTTAAGGTTGTTTAATACAATCTTTAATACATCACAACTAATAATGCGTATGCACGAAGACTATATGGCTATACGACTATTATTTCCTAGATTATTTCAATTGAATTTTTTTGAAAATCGATTATTTTTTTCATTCTTTGTTTTTGCTTCTAAACACAAAATTAATAGCAATGCTCTTTAATCAAATAAAACAAATGTTTGGTCGTACTCACTCGCATATTAGATATCATTCGAAAATATGTAATCAATGCGCTGTGTTTAAATAGTCCAGATATACATATACCCAATGTGAATTTATTGCATAAAAAACTTATACACACAGCAAATTGTTACATATTTACCATAATTATCCAATGCTGACGCGAAATTTAAAATGAAAAAAAAAAAAAAATAACTACATCTATTAAGTCAAATCAAAGTCTTCTTTTTTTATCTTTTCTGGGCATAATTCATTTTTTTGTTTCTCTTTCGTTTTTCTTGCATCGTTTCTTATTTTTGAAATGCATATAATTTATATCCTATTACAAATAACAAATGGCACTGCAGACAACATACCTCAGTGAAATTCGATTTTTTTATTTGGCTCTTGACTATAGTTTAACTTATTGAATACGGAGTTAAAATCAACTTTTTTCTTTTCTTTGATCGCGTTGTTTTTTATTTATTTAAACGGGTATTTGCTTCGTTTCTTTTGAAAACAAACGAAAAAACGAAAAGAGAATCAATTTGAATTTTCTTACTGTTCTACACTGTCTTTTGGTTTATCACAAAAATTTGAAATAGAATTTTGTTTATGTGAGCTATGTTACTCCGCTTTCCAGTCCTTACTTGATAAAACTGTTTATTTGCCACCCCGATATAATTTGAGTTTCCACTGAGTTTTGAGATGGTGCACACGTAATGCTTTTACTCATACAGTTTTCGATTTGTGTGTATTTGAATACATTTTGTCAGTGTAAGTGGAAGAGAGAAAGAGAGTGATTGCAAATGTATGGTACTCGTCCGGAACATGCGCTCTGCGTCTTCAACTAAATCATACATTCGAATTTTATTGATTGAAAAGACGAAAACTGTTTGATGAAAAACGGGGTTGTCATTTATATGTAATAGCTATGTTTCGAAAGTATGTGCGACACTCAGCTCTGCATAGTTTTCTCTCTCTCTCTCTCTCTCTCTTTCTTTCTTTCTCTGTCTGTCTCTGATTATTGCAAATGAAATATGGATTTCAAATTGTCTGCACACTCACATTTTATGAAAAACGAAATAGCTTTTGAAATTGAATATCATGATTTGAACGTCATACAAAAAAAATGCTTCAAAACATCAGAACGAACCAAATTATGATTTTACAGCTATAGCATAATTTCATTGCGTCCACAAAATGCAAACTGAATTCTAATGAAAAGTATTCATAAGATGTTCAGCATAATCATCTTGATGAACCATCGTATTCGACCACATTTAAGCCGAATTTTATGAGTTAAATTAAATATTTTCTCATTGAAGAAAATGGAAAAAAGAAAAACTGCTGATTCTATTTCATTTGTGCCATGCGGAAAGTATGATTGTTGTTGTTGATATTATTTTGTTATAGATTAAAAGCGTAAAGATTTCGAAATACGCAAAATATGTTGATTTTTGTTTACGTGCTGCTCAAAAATATCTCTTATCCATTCTGTACGACATTGATCGAAATGTTTTATCTAAAATCGATTATTCATAATATGAATTCGGGCTCACTCGATTTTCAAGTATATTAAATTCCATCGCAAAAAAGGTCTATTTTTATAAATATCGAATGCGTTGATGATTTTATACGGAAAATCCGAATATGTCAAATTACGAAACGTAATTCCGGTTGACAATACTCGAATACCTAATTAGAGGTGAAATATTTCATTGTCACGAGCCAAAACCTTTCGACCTTTTCTGTTGATTGCATGATAACCAACACACAGCTGTTTTTTTGCTTTGAAATCCAATTTAAAAGAAACAACTTGAGAAAAATACATTATCAACGTGTGTATGTTTAGTACTTGTGAGGTCTCGTTTTTGGTCGAACACGAAAAACAAAAACAACAACAACATAATCGCGGTAGTATTTTCTCAGATGAAATGTAGACTCTCCCAATCCCTGTCTACATTTAATAATGTCTACAGGGATAGACAACGTCTGCGTATTGCGTGTAGTTTTTAACGGTTTTAAAATGAACATGAAAAAGCTCTACGAAATATTACTTTTCCGCACACACCTAGTGTGTAAGGTAAAGTATTGGAATCGGTCGAAAAATTAACACCCATCAAAAATGTGTTTTCTGGGTGTTTTTGGGGCCAGGGGACACGAATCTAGTGTCATATCTGGTGTGATGCCCATGGGCATCCAAAACCCGGTAATATGATGACTATTGTCCGTTCCCAAATCTACGACAATGCCATCTCTTGTTCCCCATCTGTTGCGAATTTTTTAACCAACCAATTGATTGGTTCAAATTAAATAGTTTAATATACATTCAAAAAGGTTTCAAGTCTAATCCCGACTATTTTTTAATTGTCGTCGATTTTATGGAGTAAAACATATAGAAACAATATATACAGACAAAATTCACACTTTATAACAGAAGAACGAAACATGCTGTGTATGAAAATACTAATACATGTGCGCATGCTCAGCTTCGTTTCTGTGATGACCACTTTAAACGTACATGTGATGCTTGTGTATGTATTGTTTCTTTAATCTCTACAGTGTACTGTCAATTTCGCCTCTTCAAATTGATGGCAATTAATAATGAAATTAATTTTGTATCAATAAATGATTTTTAATATGGTTTCAATGATTTAAATGAGGATTTTTTTCAAAAAAATGTGGGATTTAAATTAAATACTTTTATTTTATTTTAAATTAAAGTGAACATTTTGTCACAGAAATAGCTACTGCTGTGTAACCAAAGATGGCGTTTTCGGCTTATGTCAACGCAATCTCCGGTTAGGTATCCATGGGAAAAATTCAATTTTTCTTCCAAAAGTGATATTTAATGTATACTTAAACACTCAAAAATATGTATTGGGTTTGTTTTAGGTACGACGAAACCGAATATGACGTTAGTTTTGCGATACAAATAACTTTCGACACACTTTTCATACAAAAATTTCGAAATGCCTTTATGATATCGTAATGAGCTGAAACTTTGCACACGTTATTTTTTTTCACACAAAAATAACATTCCGAGGGTTTTGAAGAGATTTAAATGCATAATAAGGGTACCTCCCGAACAAAATTTTGGATTTTTTGCTCAAAAACGAAAATGTTGTATGGAAGTAAATTGTATTGAAATTTCTTCAAACTTTCGGAATGTTAGCTTTTTGTGAAAAAAATAACATCTACAAATTTTCACATGATTATGATATCATACAGGCATTGAAAAGTACTTCGAAAATTATTTGTATCGTAAAACTAATGTCAGATTCAGATTTCTCATGAATTCATATTTACGGTAAAAGATACGTAATAGACGCATGTTGTGGATCACAGTGCGGAAAAGTTCATCTTACGGATGTAAGACATTTTATTTTGTTTTATCAAAGTAAAAGTAAACCGATTTCACGTCACGGTTTGGGCAAAATTTTATGGCCGGAACATTTTTTTGTGTTTCCTTTTGCTTTTTTCATACATTTTTTTTGTTTCACTTTTAGTTGAATATATGAAAGCGTTTGTTTTTAAACCACACGGATTATGCCTATTTGTTGCGAACGAGGTTTATATCCGATTCCATGACATATTTCGAAACCCCAAATCATAAATCAAAATTTACGAGTAAAATCGTTTGTATTAGCTACGTGCGGACTCATAAAAATAAATGAAAATAATAATAACAAAGCAGAAGAATCCACGGGTCTTCACAGCATTAACTGGAACCACTTTGAATCGATCATCATTTGGACGATGATTTTGTTGTTATTTATTTCTGATTTTATGATGTTAATCGATGAAAAAATATCCGCCATGAATACGAAATTTTATAATTGCAATTGCCATCAAAATAACAATCGAATTCGAGCTATTTGCTCGACATTATATTCCATTTTCGGTCAAGCTCGACCACAAGAGAGTAATGCCAAAAAAAGAGGAAAATATACCAATCCAAATCCAATGAATGGGCCAACAAGTGTGAAGCGTTTACGCTTTTTTGTTGTGACGACAAGCATATGTATGTTGAATGAAACTGATTTTATTTTTTGATGTTTTCTGTTCGTTTTATTTTTTATTGCGTTTTTCTCAAAATTTACATTTAAACACGATTCGGGATTGACTAAATATTTTATAGATAAAAAAAAGAGAGACGAAATAATTTCGTTCAGGTTGAGGAGACACAATTCACATATAAATATATATGTTAAATGTTAAAATACACTCACCAGTTAAATAGAGGTATGAAACAAGCTACATGTAAATCTGTCTGTCTATTTAAACATTGACACGCCATGCAAAACTATTTTTTTTTCTGTTTATAATATTGAAATTCCATTCAAAAGAAAATTGCATTTGATAAAAACAAAATTGGGAAGTATTTGCAACGAAACTCCAAAGAGAAAGACCACACCAGAATGGATATTGCAAAAACTGAGAGAGTCAATACTTCGAAATTTGCGAAGTGACTCCAGATGATAGTATGCATAAGTAGATAGAGAGATATATTGGTAATAAATATATGATCAAAAAAATTGATACATTTCTCATGTGCTGAGCGGGCAGAAATAATATAGTTCAGCATTTAGATGGCACTTCAACCAAGAAAGGTGAACCAGGAATATGATTTTCACCCCACATCACGAGTAATGTGTATTCGCCTCGTTCTCGTATGTAATAGTTGACAGTGAACGTATTTTTGCCAGTATGTTTTACTTGCACCTCTTCACATGGTCCTTTTGGATTGTACAAACCGACAAACAAAATGCTATGACCTATTAAGATTAAAAAAAAAAAAAAACCATAAATTAGGAATCATGATTTAAAAGAAAAAACAGAGAACAGAATGATTTTATGAACAGAATAATTACCTGCTTCGGATGCATTTACTGTAAATTGATTTTGTTTTCCTACGAAAGCTTTTTTAATGCCCATTCCTTTGATGGTAACTTTTGATGCATCAGCATTGAATACTGGTAAAGCGGGACCATTTTTATTACCTTTTGAGTGTTTTGCAGTCGTTTGCACAGAAACACTTGTTGATTCTTGGCCACCCTCATCAACCAAACTCTTGCCTAATTGCAAATTTTTAATTTAACATTTCAGCCAACGTCATTTCTATTGATTGCATTTCAGCATAATATTTACCTGTGCAATTCACTCTGAATGGTGAACCAACGATATGGGTGTTATTGTATTTAACCGATACAAAATATTCTCCAGGCAAAAATGGTGTATATCTGTCAAAATCGTTCATGTTTATAATTTTATGTCAAAATCACACATAACAAATTGATAAAAAATACCTTGCTTTATAACCATCATCAATTTCCGTACAATCCAATGACACTTTGGCAGGTCCATCCATCGTTACTGATAATGTTCCTGTAAAAGAAATGTTTGCCACAAAAAAGGGCACACATACATTTTCATGTCGTTGAGATGTTGATTCACAAATGAATTTACCTGAGCCGGCATCCAATGTACTGATTAGGAAGTGTGATTTCTGGCCAGTAACAGCATCTTTCAAGCCAACACCTTCGGCTTTTACAGCAGATGCATCTGTACATTCATGCGATAAATGTGATTAGTTTTGTGGTTTGAAAAGAAAAATCGTCCACATTTTGATGTGGTTTAAATCATTGGAATTACCGGCAACATCTTTGCCGACCCGAACACGATATGGCGAACCGGGTATATGAACACCATTCAATTTGACATGGATAGCATGAATTCCTTCTTCACGTGGATAAAATCGAACGGACGTCTCTTCCGAGTCAATGGCCTGAACGAAACAGTCATCTTCTAGATTTGATGGTGAAACGATCTAAGAAAATTCACTCAAATCAGAGATCGATTCATATGACACAACGAATTTTGCATTCAAATGTTGAGTGTCAATCAAATACCTTTGCATCAATGTCACCTTTGGCACCATTTTTGCGCACCAAAAACTGTGATGGTGTGTTCGTTTGAATAGCACCTTGCGGGAACTGGGCAATTTCGACTTTGTGCGCATCAGCAGCAGGCGGCGTAAATTTAACTATGAATGGCGAATCCGGAATGTGGCGTTCATTAAACTAAAAAGAAATTATTCGATATTTTGATAAAAACAATGATCTGAAATTAAGAATGATGCCACCATAAATGAATACCTTCAAGCTGACATTGTATTCTCCTGGTTCTTTAACTGTGTAAGCCACATTGCATGATCCATCTTTGCGATCTTTGAAATTTATTTCAGCTTTACTTGGTCCTTCAATTGAAATGGCAATTTTTCCTTCACCAGCTTCACGTGTCCAAATATTGAATTCAGCTGGAACACCAACTTCACCAAATTCCAAACCGGAACCACCAGCTTTCACCAAATGCGAACCAGAATCACTGAATGGGCCAACAGTGAATTGGAACGGTGAACCTGGATATCGATAACCATATTAATTTAAAAGAAAAACTTGAAACTTAAATGTGTATGAAAGTGTTCATAGCAAATATACGATCACTTCTAAACTCTGATAAATAGATTTGCTCATTCCGATATACAATTTTTGCGAAACACAACGTTTGTCACTCAATTTTAATATCAGAATAAATGATATAAAATACCCGGTATGTGAATGTCTGTGTATTTGACAGAGATTGTATGGATTCCTTCTTCTTTTGGTACAAAATGAACGGCATACAGTCCATCTTCGATTTCTTGCACTTCAGCGTCTTGGCAAATGCCCTTTGGCGATGTAACACTGGCTGCAAGATCAAACGATGTAATGCCTGGCATTTTAAATGTTAATTTGCACTTGCTGCCAACATCGTTCGATGGCACGGCCGACGTTTGTTGCGAAATATTTTCGCGTTGAGAATTATTTCCTTCGCCGGTTACATTGATATTAAATGGTGATCCTTCGACATGATGATCGGCAAATTTCAAATTTAGTATATAGTTTCCGGGTAAAGTTGGCTTATAAGAAATTTTCAATGTTCCATCGATTTGATCCAAGCATTTAATTTGAGCTTTGCTGGGCCCTTTGACACACACACACACACAAAAAATACACATAAAAATATTCATAGATATAGCATAATATGATAGTCATGTAATATTCGTTCGATTCGTACCTTCAATTGATAAAGATAAACCACCATAGCCAGCATCTCGGGTGTCAATAACAAATGTGTTATCTGTGTGTGTTTTGCCATCAGTAAGTGCGGTACCGGTAACTTTTACCTTTTTTGCATTACCAACTTCTTTGTCGGTAACATTAATTTTAAACGGTGAGTTTTTAATTTGGATGCCCATGCGTTTAACGCTAACAGTATGCTCTCCCGTTTCACGTGGTGTAAACGAAATGCCAATATTACCCGATGGTAAACGTTTCAAGAAGCATGGCTCTTCAATACCAGACGGTGTCATGATGATAGCATTCAATGAACGTAAATCAGCATCGGTCAAAACACCTGGCAATGTTACCTGCGAACATCCACTTCCAATTGATAGTTGATTTCTTAAGCTTTTTTTCGCATCACCTTCCACTTTGCATACAAACGGTGAGCCGGCTATGTGCTTATCACCAAAACGAACCGAAATTTTATAATCCCCTGCTTCCGTTGGTAAAAACGTCACCAAAATCGTTCCATCTTTATTATCGGTGTAGGAAATCTGAGAAGGGAACCAAAACATAAATACGAAAAATAATTGCTATAAAATGAAATGCGTTCGCATTTCATTTCTCATCGAAAAAGGAAAATTGGTTCACTTGACATTTTTCAAAGCTTATAAAATTCTTCATTTCGCATATTATAATGATATATTGTAATACATCTTTTAATACAAATCCCCAAATGAAGACAATTCAAAATGAAATTCGAAATGAAAAATGATATAAAGTCGATGATTTCATTCGCCAACAAATAATAACAATAAAATATTCCCCTTTTTCGTGATCAAATTTAATTCGTTCGAATTAAAATGAGAAACTCTTAATTGCAGCTTACTTTTGCTTTGCTGGGTCCCTCAACAGACAACGATAATAATGGCACTTCGGCACCCTTTGTTGAAATGGTGAAAACACACGGTTCCCCACATTTACCACCCGATAAACCCGGACCATATGCAGTTAAGCAACCACTTGACTGCGAATCCACATGAAACTTATATGGTGAACCTTTCAACCGGATGAGATTGAGATCGGTAGAGAAAGAAAAGTGAGCAAAATTAGCTTCATTAAAATTAATAAGAGATTTATTTTCGTTATTTTGATGTTAACGAAGATATGTAAATTGTACAAGCTTATTCAACGTCACGAATCGTGTATTTATCGTGACTTACATATTTCTTTTAAAATGTTTAAGCTTGTAGAAAAAAATTGAAGAAAAAATGTGATTGTAGGGTAAAAAAAGACAAACAACCATTTTGAGGAGAAACGAAGCGTTTTATATTGATTCAGTATAAATAATCTCAAAGAGAGAAAGAAATTGGTGAAAGTGCATTCGATATTGATTCGATGGATGAAGGTTGATTCGACTGATGCAAGTAGCCAGTGTCGCAAAGAATGTTTGCAATACTGCATTTAAATAGAAATATTGGCAACATTTTAAATGATAAATGCCAAGAATTATCTACCGTTGCAGAGTAAACATTCTTGGGACGCTTGCATCATTTTACTTCCGGATTTCATTAGCCATAATAGCAATTTATAATTTGATTCAAACGAATGACTAAAGGGAACGTGACATTCTAAATATCATTTCCTCTCAAAATGGTTACTTTTTGAGAGAAAAAGGGGAAGAACCGTATGAAACCTCTTTACTTTGACTTATATACCATTTTGATATCACAAATATATTTATTTTAATGAAAATAGAAAGAAAAACAAATGATTTAAAGAATATATATATTTCATACCTTGAACAGGAGCTCCATTATGCAGTAGAATTAGTTCATGAACGCCATCTTCTTTTGGATTATATTGGACTCGAATTGTGCCATCAAAGTTGTCTTCGATAAGCGGTAAATCAATTTTTCCGCTTGGCATTTTCACTTGCGCTATAAAAATGACATTTATTAATGATTCAGCTGTGTGAAAACATGAAAGAACAATCCGAAGATTTATGAAGATTGCCAACATTCATTTTCTTTTGATGAAAAAGAAAGGAAAAAAGAGAGATACAGAGCGAGTGAGCGAGAAAAGTGATTTTTCCATTACATTCATCGCAAAATACATAAAAATTCAACGAAATGGTCCTGTAGATGTGCTAACGAAAATCTCAACAAAAATTGAGAGAAATTAATTTATGTGTTGCACATTTCTTCTTATCACAACATCATTTTTCGCATACATGTCATACTAACAGACCATTTAATCAAATGGAAACATTTTGTTTTGATAGCATGTTTCTAAACATTCAACAACATGTATGGCCAAAGTGTTTGCCACTTAAAAAAAAACAAATAGCCCATAAATAAATTGTGCGACTGCATGAATTGCAAGGATACGACAAACATTGTATTTGATTTTCGCAAAGAAAACATAAATAATCAATTAGTTATGTGTTCTCGGTGCTGTTGAATATCGGAAATGTGCGATTTGTTATGACATGCTTATAAAACGAATGTCACAGATAATGTTGTATATTTATTTTTTAATTTTATTTGTGGATCGACTTTATACCCGTTATTTTTTTTTTTTTTTCATTTACCGTCAGCATGAACGTAAATGATTTGTAAAGGCTCTATTTTCTAGGACACGATTTGCGCACGATTGTAATCGTGTACGATTTTTTCAAATCGCCAACCGATCTTTCATGATCGGGAACGTTTCATCTAACGCTTTTCAGATATACGTAGACGATCATAAGAAAATCGTGGACGATTGGAATCGTACACGATTACAATCGTGTGCTTAGCAAATAAGGCCTTAAGAAAATAAGAGAGAGAGAGAGGAAGATAGTAAAGGCAGTATTGATGAAATGATTTATTTCGAAACGTCGTTAAAATTCGAAAGCAATACCGAAATGAAAAAAGAAATGAAATGAATCTCTACAGCAAGTCATTTCGACAGTGAAACCATCGAAATTTCATTGCGTTCATTGAATGGTATGTTCAAAAGAGAAGGAGAAGAAAAAAAAGAACTTTAAATAACATATCATAAAAATTGTTAGTTCGCCTACGAGCAGAAAAGAAAACGACGACGAAGAAGAAGAAATCAAATCGCGGGCATTTTAGTGCTTAGACACAGACGATAAACGTCATACATAATGGAATACGGTCCTCCATTCCGAAATTATCCGCACGTTTTACACGTTGGCGAGCATCGATGTAGCTACACATTAATTTAAGCTGAATTATTTTAATTGCTAATTATTAGTTAAAATGATGGCTTCACTACTAAAGTGCAATATCGCTGCGCTATAGCCTAATTAAATTGAACATATGTTTGTGCATACGACAAACGCCAGAGACATACATTGAGCAATAAGAGAACGACAAAAGATGACGATGGTCGATTGAATAGAGGGAGATGCAAATCAAATCCTCGACTAAACATTCCGACTTGTATTTATTTAAATTTTTGGTTTTTATTTTGTTTCTATATACTAATTTAATTGATGTCAGATAAATAAATTTCAGCGAAAATGTATTGCAGGTTGAGAATCGTTATAGCTGCAAATCATTTTTTTTTGCAAGCATTCACGTTGCTTTTTGTTGATAGTCGAATAATGAAAGCTGTTGTTTGTATTAATGCAATTTATGCTAGGAGTTTTTATGTTTTTGAGCTACTTTCTGTGCTTGATTGCAGCTTTTTTCACTGCATTCACATTATCCTTTTGATATATCACACACACACACACACACACACACAGACACACTCGCTCTCTCTCATACACACAGTCATATACATATGTATGCCGCGAGCTATTATCATTCACTGATTAATTTATGCAATTGATGTTGTGTATTTTATGATTGTTTCCACTTGGCACCACTCATACCAGACAAAGAGAAAAAAAAAACGAAACAAATTAATTGGAGAATGTGTGCAGATTTTTCATTTACTTTTGTCTGTTTTTTCTCAACTCGTTAAAATGATTACCTTGATGCGTTAATATTTGATATTGAGAGAGGAAATTTGTCGCAGAAGAGACACTTCCATGCACTTTATCTGCAATATTTTGCTCTTTGCAGAACACTTCCACCTTCGGCTCAAAATCAAATTCCGACACAGTAAAGCTCAATTTCAAATCCTTATGAAATTCACTGTATTCCTCCCATGTGGTTTCGTCTTCTTCACTGCGCATCAACCACATTGCTTTCTTAGTAAAAAATATTCAATTTCGATTTAACAGATCGGAATTAATTAAAAGTAGTAAGGGGAAATGTGGTAAATGAAAAAGGCTGTTAATTTTCCCGTTTAATGTAATAGCTAAAAATTAAATTTAGCACAACATGCTATTTAAGTTTTTCTCTCTCTTCTTCAAATGACCAGTGATTTTTTATTTCTAGTGTATCATCAGATTTTCATGGATCAATTGAAATATTCGACTAGCTAATTCTGAATCTAATGGTACAAAAAATAAAATTATACGGTTTGCAAATATTTTTTATGAATAATTGAGTTTCATTTTTAATGAAATATTTTTTAAAAATTGTGAAATATATTCATATAATAATTAATGGAACATCCTGACTTTTAATGTTAGAAATTAAATGTAAATGGATGAAAAAAAAATGAGCTTGATTGGTAATGTGTAGTGACAGATTGAGATATAATGTTAGCAATTAATGTGCAATATTGAATGTGATTGCTTTGTTGTGCCAGACGATGAATAAATGAATTCGGAATGTGAGTTAATTGTTCAATTTAATTTCTCCAAACTATTTATTTAAATATTTATTTCGTTTACGCGGTCACATCAAATATTGCAGAAATGTGGTGGATAAAAAAACTAACAACGGCACTTCGAAATTAAAATGGAATATCAGAAATTAAACGTGGTTGATTTTTTTTTTTGTTGATCAAATGGGTGAGTAAGAAAGAAACGAGTAAGAACACGCGAATTCGAACTTGTATATTCGAATTACTTTTGATGATGAAAACTTTAAATACCCGTCTATACGTTAACACGGACCACTTGTGAATGCGATGCGAAAATTTTTGGTCGCTAACTCTCTGAGATGATACACTTTAGCACTTCAAATTTTATATATTCGGATTGCGAACATGGAATGTAGATGTTTTTTTTTTTCAATTTCTTAATTTAATACGGTGTCCGCTGCTCGTCAACTTGGTACAGCTCTGACTCTCTGGCTAACAGTCTTATTTTATTTTAGTACAGTAAAACCTGTCAATAACGGACCCTGACTTTGGTAGAATTCTTGTCAATAGTGGAAAAAAATTTCCGCCGTTGAGCTCTCCCATACAAAATGACCTGCTAATAATGAAACCTGAAAAATTCTTTTATTTGCTAGGGTTTTTCGAACGCGTGAGATATTTTTTCGATTTGCTAGGGATTTTCGAGCTGTTTTTTGGAAGTAAAATTTTTTTCCGATTGGAAAACCGTTTTCGCTAGGATTTTCCATGCGAAAAATTCTTTTTATTTCTAGAATTTTTTTCTCAAAATCACCCCCTGAAAAATTGATGATAAAAATATGTGAATTTCGCTTGGAATTTTCCCCTTTTTTCCCAAAGAACCACACGCCCAAAAACAGAAAACTTACACTGTCGCTTTTATACAACAACAATAACATTGTATACACACAGAAAGAAAAAATGTGGTATTTTTTATTCAATTTTGGTAGATTTAATATAAAATTAACCAACAACGAATTAAATTTACCATTTTTGACATCTCTGAGGCATATTTTTCAAAAGTGACTATTTGTTGAATAAGTTTTACCAACTGCTTCATTGCATTTAACAACTTTTCGAAACCACAGATGACGCTAGCCCAAGAATTTGGTGAATGAAATGAAGCAATTGGTAAAAATTATTAAACTGATAGTCTCTTTTGAGAAATATGCCTCAGAGATGTCAAAAATGGTAAATTTCATTCGTTGTTGGTTGATTTTATATTAAATCTACCAAAATTGAATTAAAAATACCACATTTTTTCTTTCTGTGCAATAGGCTATAGCTATGAATATAGCATACGTACGTTTGACAGTGGATTTGAGCGCCTGGTTCTTTACCCTCAATAATGGAAAATCATTTCTGAATTGGCGTGAAAACCTGTTATTAATGGAATCTGAGTTTAGTGGAATTCGTGTCAATAGTGGAAAAAAAATTGTCCCCGTGAGATTCAGTTATTGACATTATTGACAGGTTTTACTGTATATGTATTTTGATGCTATTCATACTGTACAGAATACATCCACGGCCTTTTTTAAATCGGCTAAAAGCGGTACCGTTCATTTCTCATCGAATGCATTCAATTTCGACCTCTCCTGTTTTCTTCTTCATTTTTCTTTTGAGAAACAATTCGGCGGACAGTGTAAGTGTGATTTTTCTCCAGATCAATGTAAATCGAGCGATAGAGAAAGATTCCGACAATTTTCTACAGTTCATTTGAAAAGATGAAGATTGTGCATATGAAACATTCACTTGTCCATTCAGTCAAAACTATATGACGTGCGTAGCCATTTGCAACTTTTTGATCACATGATGCATGCTGAAATCGGAAATATGTATTTCAGAGCACGCAGAAAGAAAAAGAGAGAGAGAGAGAGAGAGAGAGAGAGAGAGCTGAAAAACAAGAAAGAGAGGAGGGAGGCAGAGCTGAGATTTTGAAACAATTTTCGTGACAGATCTTCATGAATGAATATGATTTTGAACGGCGTACATTTGGACGACACTGTGCAAGTAGATGAAGCGCAAATTCGCTAATATTAATTACATTGAAACATGGTAGGATGTGCATATTGCCGTTTTGCAAACCAAGCAAAAATAAAATAAAAACAAACTAACCAGTCACTAGTTTGATGCGCATTTCTTTGATCTTCTGGATCTCAGTTTACAACTGCTTACGAGCGCGCAAAACATTTGTTGTTTTTCTTATTTGCCAAAACTATGCGTATATCATTTGCACAAACACCCCGACATCTTATTACATGACAAACGTTTATTTTTACGAACAAAATATTTTGTCAGTATATGTATTTTTGGATAAAAAAAAAAACACAGCGCACACACGCACAAATTACAATCCTGAAATAAAAATTGATGTTGAGAATTGTCGATATTTTACTGTCGTTTAGGGTGGGTTTATAAAATACAAATTGAAAACAAATTTCTTGTGTACACTTTCATCAATCACTTTCATTTCATGTGGCACCTCGTCAGTATTCTCTCCATTTTATGGCACATAATATGATTATACCGATTTTAGCGCCTCTTATTTATAATAGCTTCGTTATGATAAATGGCCAAATATAAATACACCCTAAAATTTTGTTCTCATACCGTCATAATTCACATTGGCGAAAATATCTACGTTGAAGAGGTCGAAAGACGCAAAACCAAATAATAACAATTAATCTAGCATTTATTTAAATGTTGTTTGTATTTTATGGTTTTGTCATTTTTGTGGTCACATATATCCTATTGTCTGAATGCGAACATTTCACTCAAGATATTGCGTTTATTTATTTTCTGTTTTTTTTTTTGTTGTTGTTGTCTGTCAACAAGAAAATACAATCAAACGATTTGTGTATGCGAACTTTTTACCGGCTACTGTAGAAAGATTTCATCGTCAATCACGCGTATAACACAATATGAATGCAAATGTGCAATCATGTTTTTGTCGTAACCAACTAATTACTCGAAATTTGGATGTGAAACAAAAAACAAAAGAAAATTTTCGTACATTGAACGGTCGTTATACGAAACGTTTAACCCCAGATTAACTTTCAGCCATTTGTTTCATTTATATATATGCATTAAAATGATATTTTTATTTTGTGATAAAAATTCGTATTCTCTTTTTTTGTGTCAGGCTCATAAATTTGGAAATTATGAAGGCGCAAGAGAAAAGTAAATGTCACGACAACCGATCCAATAAAATGTGAATCAAAAGGAAATATATATATATAACGGAAACATTAATAAAAATAAAAAAAAGAAAATTCCGAATCGAGATGTGCGTGTGGTGATATCGTTATATTAACCGCACATTTTTGAAAACAATTTCCGCCATAAGTCAGATTTTTGTCGCTAATGATTTTTAAAGTATGATATGAATTTAAGTTAGAGTGTATTGAGTTTGGTCGACAAGAGAAGGGAGATATCGCAAAATTCCTATAGGAGGATCATTCGTCGGGAATTTTTATTTTATTTTCGTCAAATACGTATTACCGCTACTATACAAAAGTGGAAAAATGATGAGCCAACGCATTTTTTTCCACGCACTTTTTGGTCCGAATACTTGTACCAAAAATGATTTTTTTTTGTTGTTGTCGTTGGTGTCCGAATGTGCTTGGAATGACAGTTTTTTCTTTATTAAAATAACTTCTCTTTTGCAAACGCTGTCACATTCCATTATTGATGTGATTATCTCGTTTCGATACATATCTTTTATATCTTTTATATTATACATGTGTGTGTGTGTGAATCACATGGTCATGCGAATTGGGAAATTAATCTCCATCATGTCTATCACTATGCGTCTTTCTATTTCATTAATTCGAAATAATTCAATAAATGTAAAATTGGTGCCGGACTTCTAAACATGATCATCTTGTTGTATTTCGTCGTAGATTCGGTTTTTTTCTTTACTGGTTGAAAACTCAATTTGGAACTAGAAATAAATAAATTTAAATTTGTATTTTAAGTTTTATGGTGTCGATGTAATTTATTGGTGTTGCTTGGCGAAAATGGTTCTATTTTTATCTCCCCCAAGTCTCTCTCTCTCTCTCTCTTTTTCATTATACCATTCTCTCTTTAGTCATACTTACACTCTTGGCACAAATGTGTGTGCAAGAGCCTCTCCTTGTCTGATGGCATGCTGCACAGTAATTAATTGAAATATCCATGCGATAGTGAATTTTTGATTTTTAATATGTACTAATTACGATTTCAAAAATTCATGCTTTGATTCATCCACTCGACCGTGATCATGTGCAGTGAGTATAGCAACGAAACAGAACCCATTTCATTTCACTTTATTTCTCTTTCTCGCTTTCTTGTTTTGAGCGACGATGAAGAAAAATATGAACTAACGGCGACATGTTTCCCTTGGAAATCGAATGTCATATCAATATTTCAAATCATGTATGCATTGAATTTTGTGCATCGCATCGAACACCGATGATCATGATCAACTACCATACAGACTATAAATTGTTTAGAAAATCCTTACCTTTTAGCTCATTGAACGGTCGAGATATTGGCAATTTATTGAAATAAATGCGAGCGTGTTTAGACGAATCAATACTTTGTGTCGTTGCTTCCAATTCTTCGAGATCGCTTGAATGATCCTATGTATGTGAAATGTGATCAACAAATAAAAAAAAAGAAAGAAAATAGATTATTGCGATGCATTTCGACATCACCTCATCATCTTCATCATACATTGATGTGTAAAACTCTCAATAAACTATTTCGAATGGATAAATCTAATTCGGTGTCTGTTATGAAATTAAAACGGAGTATTTTTAATCCACATCGTGAAAATTAAATTTAGGCAAAATGGCTTACCTCAATAGCTAGACTAATATCAGAGCGACGAATGGATTGTGTCTTGTTGACTAGCGCGGTTTTTTCATCATCTTTTGTAATGATCGTTAGCAGAAATGGACTGGAAAATAGAAAAAGGTCAAACAAATTAATAGAATGCTTCAGATCCGACGACAAAAGGGATATGTCAACATTATTTTTAAATAGATGTTGTATGTCATTGGTGCGAACATTGAAAACAAGCTTTTATGTGGCAAAAAAGAAGCAAATAAATCGTTCGCACAAACGGTTGTGTTTGATTCAAGAAGAATTTTAATGAAAAATAAAATCTGTCTCAAATTACATCAATCAAATGAGTGTTTATTATTGAGTGTAAATGAATTTGAATGAATTTTATTCTATTAACCCTTAACCGCACAGGCTAAAACAGTAACGTAAGCGCACAGGTGGGGTCTTTTTGGACCCATGAGAAATTTCATACAAAACTTATGCAAAATGGTATCCAATGAGTAAAATATGTCATTTTATAGTTATACCATAGCTTATTCCTTACTTTCCAATACATCATCACAATTTTATGTTGATTTTTCATGAAAAAAATCAATTATAGCCAAAATGCTTGGTAGTTATTGATATGTACGACTTTTAGACAGTCGTGTCTTTCACTACTATCGCTAATCGACAGTCGTTGGCCAGTCAATGTGCTCCGTGTAATGCGCCGAACTACCTCTCGATATGTGAGATCAATATAGAGACTGCTTCCCGAAGGGCGATCGCACTTTGAATACTGTAGCTGTGCTGCTCTCTGGCATTTATAAGTTCAACCCTATGTAAACACTTTTCCTTCCTCTTCTTCAGCTTAACTCTGAGACACCAGGTGGCAGCCCATCTGCATGTTCGAAAGCAATTACATTCTTTTATATGGAGTGCAATGAGATTGCGCTGCTTCCGTTCTTCCTCCATACTTGGCAAACATGTTGTTGGACGTTCACAACAAGGCAAATCTTGCCACACCAGAAACGTTCACCAAATTCATGAAATATGCCCATACTTTGTGTTTTGGATAAGATATATCCGTAAGATCTAAGGAGCTGGATCTAAGGTGCGTACACCGCCGCATGATACATACTTTGAAAACGAACGAATATATCATGCGGCGGCGTATGCACGCTTAGATCAAGCTCTCGTGGAGATCTTACGGATCTACCCTATCCGAAAAAAACAATGTATGAATATATTATAATGGCAAATGCCATTTGATTTGCGATGAACAGTATACGTCACGGACGAAACTGTAGTAAGTAAATTTACTGTGTTGTTGTTTGATGAAATATAAATTGTTGTGTCAACAAATCTCCATGAGTTTCATATTGGCCCATACAGAATGCATAATTTCCCATACAAAATACTTTGGGGTCCAAAAGACCCCGTTGTGCTTTTACGTTAGTATTTTCTATAAGACTTCCCAAAACTTCATCTATGCACCAAAAATTGAAATTTTTGATTGTATCTCATAGATATGATATTAAAAAAGAAAACGCTCAGCGAAATATTCCAATTTTTTTTATATTTTTGTGATTTTCTTCAAAAAATTAACTCTTAGGGCCTTTGATGTGCGTTTGAGGGTTAAAATTTGATTTTAACGGCAGACATCTAACACACATAAACATTTAAATAAGTTTGATTTAATTCATTTGTCTTACCTTGAATTAACATTTTGATGTGCAAACTTAACACTAATCACGATGGATTTTTCATTTGGCGGAATGAAATTAACCGTATACAAGCCACCACCTTTGTTCACAACAAACACATTATCAACAGGTATTCCATGCATGTTAAATATACAAACGGCAACAATGCCTTGTCCAGCCTTCGATACATCAATATTAAAATGGGTTGCTTCGCCGGCAACAAGTGGCGCCTCCGAAAATGCCGGACCGAACACTTTCACCTTCTGTGGATAGGCCTCTGGTGTGGATGATTCAGGAATGTAATTATTTGGAAGTGGTGGAACATACACCTTTTGTGTGATTGACAATGGTATTCCACCGTAATATATTTTCGTTAAATAATTCCCTGGTTTTTTTACATTTAAGTCTATTGTATAAACACCATTGTCATTTGATGCAATACTAACTGGAATTTTTGTGCAACTTTCTTCGTGAATTAAATATACATTCAATTCGGCATAATCTACTTGAGTTGTATCAACATTGAAATGATTGCATTCGTTTAGTTTGGTTTTCGTTTCAAACCAGTCACCGTAAACACGAATCTTGGATACATCGGGCGGTGTTGACACATAAATACGATATGGTGACTCTGATGCAGCAACACCACCGTAATTCACTTCAATGACATGTGGCAAAGTGCTCTTTGGTGTATATGAACATGTGGTTACACCATTTTCATTCGTTTTAGTTTTGTACACCAACTGTGTTCCCAATGTGTCTTGTATCTGAAAATTGCGACAAATCATTTTTGATGAGTAAATTTTAAATATTAAATAAAATCGATATTTCTTACGATAATTTCAAGTGGTGCACTGCCTGCATCGCTTGTGTCAACTTTAAATTCAGTGCTACAATTCAATATGGCTCCATATGATTGAATTCCGGGTCCAGTGCATTTAACCGCATCCGGTTGGAAATTGGATTTTGATTGAATTTGTGCAATGAATGGACTCTTGTTTATATCTTCATTATCGCATAAAATGTGAATAGCATATTCACCAGCTACCGTTGGAAGATACCTCACAAGCGCCGATCCATCGCCATTATCATGACATTCGATTTCTGCCTGGAAAAGGCACAGTTATTGTTGTGAAATCCATTAAAATAAAGAAATAAATGCTAACACAAAAATAAAAAATCTATAGATTATTACCTGTGATGGGCCAGCAACACTGAATGCCAATGCTCCCGTCTCGCCATTCATTTCAACAACGAATGCAGCTGGCATTGCTGCAATTCCGCCCTTTAGACCGGGCCCATAAGCAACAATCGACGACTGACTACGCGGTCCAACAACTACTTCGAATGGGGCCTTTGGAACTTCAAATTTGCCAAATTTTACCATAATCACGTATCGACCCTCTTTCGTTGGATAATAATGACACTCGTACACATCTTCTTTTACATGTTTTATGTCAACATTCTGATTGATACCGCCAGGACCAACGATTTTTACTTCGGGCGTACCAATGCCAGCTGCTGTTGTATGAATAAAAAATATGGCATCGTCACCATTTCGAATGCCTCTGGCTTGTATACCACGTCCACGGACACGAATTTTTCGTGAATCACATGCTGATAACATGAAAATAAGTGAACATAATACATGACAGTAGAAAAATAGAATAAATGGAAATATCATTTTGTGAAACGAAAAAGAAAATCTCTTACTCGATGCAATTTTTACACCGAATGGACTGTTTTCAACCGGAATCCCACCGAAAAATACATTAACTGAATGAAGACCAATTAAATTTGATACATATTCACATTTCCATCGATTTTCATTGATCTTTCGCATTTTAACTGGCACGGTGGTTTTGTGACCGGCTGGATCCAAAATTATTACTTCAGGTATACCGCATACAGTGTCTGATTGTTGGTTTAAATACCGAAAATCTTAATCAAAACAGAATATTATGGAACAAATAAATGAAAACGAACCTTCTGCGAAAATTTCAAAATAGGTAGTTTTTCCACTGTAATTTCCGTCCGATTGTAATCCCGGGCCTGATAGTTGGATTTTTGATATATCAGCAACATTTTCGGTGACATGCACATTGAACGGACTGTTTGGTATATCCTTGCCCAAAAATGTTACGAAGACTTTGTAGTCGCCAGCTATTTTTGGCATATACGAAACGGAATACGATAGTTTTTCATCATTATTAAATCGTACATCAGCTTTTTCGTTTAATCCATTTGGACCCCGAATATGCACATCGATTGAGCCTAATAAAAATTGACATCAAAAATCATTTCGGATGTTTAAAAGAATCTTTGACTGAAAAAATGTTTCTCACCTTTTCCAGCGGCTACCGTTTCAACCGTAAAGTTGGCTGGAGTATGAGCAACAGCTCCGAAAGGACTGATTCCTGGACCATATGCTGAGATTCTGTAAATTATTTTTTTAAAAAAATGTGTATTTGACAGACGAAAAAAGTTAGAATGATGTAACGAACCGATTCGAGATGCGTTTTGCTCTCAATGGTGCACCTGAACGCAATTTAGCCATAGTAAATTGGCTTAAATATGTCATGAGCGTTTTATCATTAACATAACCGCTGATCAATTCCTCTGGTAGTATATACATTTGAATATCTAACCAATCTCTAGCCAATGTCATTGCTTCAATTGTATTGATTAGGCTATTTTTTGAGTCCCATTGCATGTGATCGCCGGCACACAGACCAGGTGCAATAGCATTGATTAATGCACTTATCGCTTTCCCATCTCGCCAATCCGATGTAAAGTTTGTGATTCGTAATTTTGGCACTTTGATTTGTATCCATTGCATTAGCCTAATTATAGAAAAATTGCATGATATTTAAAACGATTAAAACAATTGGATAATCTTGCAGCACAAATACCTATGTTTTTTTGACTCGTACGAATCAAGTGAGCTATTGTTTTCTGCCCGTTCATGTATGGTTGATGCAATTGAATATTGCCAAATAAACGACCACAACACAGCCAAAATCGTTTCAATATCTCCATTTATTAATTTATTAGGATCTTAATGGACGCAATGAACAAAATCGAGAGAATTAAAATATTACATTCAATTTTAATCATATGAAAGATAGGCGTTATGTGTATACAAATTCAGCATGACATTTAAAAATAAAAATAAATGAATGGCTGTAAATATACCAACTCTTTTCAGACATTATAATGAGATATTTTCAGCCAGATATCGTCAGGAGCTGAAATTGAGTGAAAACAATAGGAGTGATTGTTATGATTATAATTACACTTACATTGCTACAATCACTATAACAATCACTTTTATTGTTTTCACTTCATTTCAGCTCTTAACTCCATTAATCTCATTATAATGTCTGACTCTTTTTAATGATATCTCACCGATTTCAATAAATGTTTCGACCGAATTGGTCCGCATCCATTCCAACACTAATATCACTCGATCTAAATGGTGTTGCCGCAGTTTGGAATTGATTTTTGTATATTTATTGCCAATTTTTTTTCCGGAAAGATCTTCTATCAATTCAATGAAAACCATTCCATCGCTGAGGCCAATTTGAACATCAGATACGAATGGCTTACCGCTTAGTTTTCGTTTCGTATTTAACCAACGTAGAAATGTTCTATATTTTGTTGTTGTTAAAATTGAACAAACGGGAAAAATGGTAAATTACAATTGTTTATGGTCAATATGTCAAGTTGATACCTTGATTCTTGTGCAATATCATTGTTTATTATGTTGGCTGTTTTAAGCTGTAACTCTGTGCTCATCACTGTGATCGATGTATGTATTCAAATATCTATGTAAATTTCTACGTTACATACGTTTAAATTAAATATTCACAATTATACATTTGATGTGTGTATCAATCATATCGAATTGAGTTGAGAAACATGAAATTGTTCAATAACTTGACTTAAAACACAAATGCACGGGGGCCCACCACTTATGATGCCGACACCATATCGACAAGAGCATCTGACTCAATTCACAAGTGAATACGGATCTATTTGAAATTCATCAGAAAAGCACAAATTTGATGGCACATCATAACAGACAACAATAGCGATGACTTTGTTATTGCAGAAAATCAATTTTCTTTTCAATTTTGTTTGTCGTTGAAAATTGACACAATCACAGTAGTTTTTTTTATTAACTTTATGAACTTGGATTTATAAAAATTACGCTATAGCAGCTGTCAATGAATTCAGAGCGTTTGTCTGAATACGGTAACAAAACAGTGTTTTTTTCGTGTTTCATGTTCATATGTTTGTGAGTTTTGAGTTTAGTGCTATTTTTAAATCAACGCGCCATTTTTTTTCTTCATTACTTTTACATACAAACACGCGTACAAACAGCATTGGCAACAGGCTATTAATAGTATGAATAGTTAAATATTACCCGTGTGTTTTGATCCCATCAAAAACATCATGCTACATGACAAATAAATGACGTTTTCAGCGTTAGATCGAGTCAATGCTACAAAAAATGACAGTGAATCCTTGACAATTCGATCCCTAAACAAAGTCGATTCATTAAAAAAAAAACACCAAATAGTACACCGAGTATTTCATTCGGTCTTTATACAAAAATGATACCATGCATATACGGTACCATCCAATTTTTTTTTGTTTATCTGATATCACTCACTCAGTGATGAATCTACAATTTTTATTCGAACAAATATTGTACATTATTTTTTTGTTTTCGATTTCTTTTTGTGCTTAGGTTTAGTTTTAAGTGCACGACTTGAATCATGCATAAGAGTTTTTATCTTCTCATTACTTTCTTTTGAGGCTCCCTTTAAAATTTCTTCTCGCAGCTGTAGTAACATAAGCGGTGATATCACACCTTTTCGTACTAACTGTGTGGAAAGATTTTCTTTATGTGGTAAGTCTTTTTTTAATGATTTGTTATCTCTCATTTTTGACACAACAATATTTTCTGGAGCGTCTGAAAAATAATTAAATTGAATTAGAAATGCTATTTGTTTGTTCAAATAAATACATGTTAAATAGTTGTATTTACCATTGTTTGTTGTTATGTGCTGTTTTATTAGATTCGTAATTTGTGCAACACCTTGTTGAATTAAATCATCCAATTGTACTTGAGCTGCACGAATTTGATCACCATGCGGATACATGTCGGTAAAACGATAACTAAACCATAAATAAATATCCATAACATCGAATATATTTTCCAATTGTACCAAATCAGCTATCGTTCTTGGAAATTTTACAGGCAATGCACAATGATGCGCAACATATTCATATGTAATTGGTATAAATTTACTATGTTGAGTTGCAAACTGAAAATAAAAAAACATATACATAACACAATAATTTTGATACGAATTGAAGTATTTGAAAAGTCATGGAGTAATCATAATATGGTTTACCTTGGTAAGCATGGCACACACAAATGGTTGTTTTTGATTAATCGGCGCACAACAATATATATATCGACTACGTAATGGTAACGATATATGATGTATCATTTTTGCCAAGGCTTTAAAATCATCCGTATTGCACATGAAGTACAAATCATCATTCACTGTGCTTAACGATGTGAAGATTTCCTGAAAAAACAAAAAAAATAAACAAAAATGCATATTAATCATATTGACATCAAGTGTGGAATAAAATTTAGGCATTGTTAAATGACAAACCATTAAACTATTAAGGGATGTATTGGGTAAGTGATAGGCATATAATTCGATTTGATCGGCAGTGGGATGAAGACCAGCTTGTGTGATGGGTTCAGGTTCTTGTGCCAGTAAATACTTGAGCGTTGGTAAATCAGTTGGTTTGAACGTCGTCACATATCCTTCTTCCCATTGTGTTCCATATCGACCAGCTCGACCTACACGACCACACATTTAGAAATGTAATGTTGAGAATTAAAAAAATGCCTCAAGGCATCTCGCCACCTGACTCGTTTATAGAAATTTCCTAGAATTCTAGAGCAGATGGTGGGATTCCTTGGTGAGTCATTTTCATCTACACAATTAATTACCAGCTATTTGTAATGCTTGCGATACAGATAATTTGCTGATTTCTTTTTCACCATCTTCATTTTGTTGTAACTTAACCACTGAATAAAATATTATACGTCGAATACTCCTAAAAATGGAAATAAATTTTTTCTTTTCGATTTTAACACTTTATATGAAACGAGTTATTTTTTTCCATTAAGGAAACTTACAAATTTAAACCCATTCCGATGGCATCGGTTGCCACCATAATTTTACAAGGATTGTTTGGATCGTTGAACTTTGATGCCTGAGCTAATTTTGTGTTTGGTGGTAAACTGCCATAAATCACAGCCACTTCCTTACCGCTGCATAAATAAAACAGAATATTTTATTTGAAATTCGGATTTTGATTTTTGGTATTCGATTATTTGTTGTACGATAATTTCTTACAGTAGTTCAATGTCACGTGAAACAGTGTATATGTCATTTTTGTTAAAACAAACAATACAATCGCCTGGTTCGAGATTCTCCAATGAACCGAGTGCTTTGTCTTCGATAGTAAGCTGTGTCAAACGATCATAATGATGGTACTCAATGAATTCGCCAGTGGTTAGGCACAGTCGTTCCAGTAATTCTTTTGTGCCAGCCTCACCGCATACATGAACCTCGTCAGCATTTATTCCTAAAAAAGCACGTGTCCATGCCCATCCTCTGCCTGGATCTTTTAATTGCTGTATTTCGTCAATAATAGCAACGTCATCTGTAAAATAATTAAATGAATTAAATAATAAGCAATTTTAGTTTGCTTGAAATGTTTCATAGAAAATATGCGCATTACTTACATTTTCGTTCGACTGATGCCATTTCAACTGTAATTGCAACATGATTTGCTTCTGATCCGTCTGCATTACCAAATCTTTTTTCTTCTCCCGTCACTAAATCGCATGGTGTTCCCTATATACGTTCGTACACAGTTTTTAACTCGAACAACAATATCATATCATGTTGAATAAAATTGATGCTTACCTTTTCATTGCTTTTCTGAAACACTTCCATTGCCAATAATTTCAGTGGACCACAGTAAATTCCTGATTTTGATTCTAAGAAACGTTGCATTGCATGATACGTTTTACCTGAATTGGTAGGACCGGCGTGAAAGATAATTTTTCGTGGTTTACTACGAGCCTGCGGATACCATGTTGAAGGATTTGTTAAATCCGATATTTTTTTCAAATCGTTCATGCAATTTAAATGTGGAAATATTTCTTTGGCGTGATTTAAAAAGTATGGAAACAAATCATCCGGATGCCCACCACCATTGATAATATCATACAATTTGATATACAATTCAGCCGGTATTGCATCTATTTGAAAACAATATTGACGAAAACTGGAAAATGATTTCTCCTGGATATATTCTAAACAAAAAGACGACATGATCAATATGTTGTTATCATTTTTTGATATTTCATAAAATCATTCAATATTTACCATCCAGACCGTAATCTTCGCAAAGACTTCGATTCTCCCGCTTTTGTGAGAATTTGTTTATGACCTTTAAAACGTCGGACTTTTCTATTTTACCGGTGAGTTCAGCACCCAATAAAGCATCATCACTACCCTTGGGTTTGCTTGGTGCAAATAAACGCGAAACTCTAAACGACTCATTATTTGAATCATCTTGTTTTCCTCGTGTGAAACATGGCTTAGTATTAAATCCAACCAACGAATCATTCCTTCGCAGCAGATTTCGATTGATTATTCTATTATGTGATAGAATTCTCCGCGAAAATGACCACATTGCAACACCACACAGTTACAGTCAAATTTTAAAAATTAAATACAAATGTTAGTTTCATCAATTGTTGACTAAATTACACCATGCTTAAATCTTAACCGCATTGTCACATTACTCCATACAGTGACATTGACATTTCACACATTTTCAAATGTCACTCTTATCATTTTTAGATTCTTTTTGAATTGACATTTTCGATCGATTTAAGTTAAATGAAAAGGAAACAATGAAATTTCATGAAATGATTGAAAAACCATCAATATACATAAAAGAATTCAAGGTTTTCGTATTTTAATCATTTCTTTTAATGAAAATCATCTCATGTGTTTGAGCATTGAGCAACACTGAGAACAATTAAACTTGAACATTACACAACACATTTTTCGACCGTCTCCATATACAATTATACATTAACAAATACGGTTAAAATGATGCAAAACAAATGATATTTTCAACAAATGATGTTTTAGAAATAAATTCAGATTTCGCATTACCTTCGGTTTTACTCTCCAAAGAAATTTATTTAATGATTTCTACATATTTTCAAACTTGAAAAATTTACAGATTATAGTCCAATTAGACCAATTCAATTCAGTTAGAAAAATTGAAACTAGTCACAGACAGAATGAATTGACAATTTTATTAAAACTAATTTTTTTGATCCAACACTTTTTGGATCATCTTTTCCAATTGTGCTTGAGCTAATCGCACTTGATCTGCATGTGGATACATTGCCTCAAAACGATTACTTAACCATAAGTACATATGTAAAACTTCGTATATTCTTTCTAAGTTTGTTAAATCATTCATAGACAGAATCGGATATTTCACGGGAAATCCACAATTATTAGCAACGAAATCCCATGTAATTGGTTTACATTGACTATGTTGTTCTGCAAACTGTCAAAAATCAAAATAGAAATGATTTAAAATTTAAACAAGAAAATATCAATATTCATCTGTACAAATTTACCGCTTTGAATATGGTACAAGAAAATTTTCTTGCATCAATCGGCACATGGCAGTACACATATCGAACTGTGAATGGCAAATCAATGTTATCAATGATATCGGCCAATGTCATGACATCATCCATACAGCACATAAAGTATAAATCATCATTAAATTTGCATATCTTCGTAAAAAAGTCCTAAATTCAAACGAAAACAATATAGATTCGAACCGATCAATTGAAAATGAATAATTTTTTATATGTCACGATATGAAATAATACAAACCATTGCGCTTCTTAGAGATAAGTTGGGAAAATGATTGACAAAATATTCAATTTGTTCGACACAAGGAGCGAGACCAGCTTGTTCGATTGGTTCTGGCTTTTGCACGAAAATATTCTTGAATTTTCTCAAATCACAATTTCTATATGTTGTGACATATCCATGTTCCCATTGAGTTCCAAATCGACCAGCTCGACCTATACGAAATAAACCAAAGATTTTTTTCTTTTTTATAATTTACTTCCTAAAACGTATTGGTTATGATAAAGTCATAATAAAGTTATTAGGATTACATCCTAATACTTACTATGTTTTATCATAATATTTATTATGATTCATCTAAATAATTACCGTGGTCACTTCACTTGTCTGAGGTAGCGCCATCTGTTGAAAATTGTTTTTGGCTGAATAACAATATGCTATCAAGTAAACACGGTATTTATTAAGATGAATCCTAATAAATATTATGATAAAACATATTAAGTATTAGGATGTAATCCTAATAATATTATTATGATTTTAACGTACGTTATTAGGATCCGATTAACTTATCATAATAATTTTTTATTACGTGCAAAACTATATGTTATGACAGTTATGCATACCAGCAATTTGTAATGTTTGTGATGTCGTCAATGTTGTGATGGAAACTTTTTTATCACGTCTTTTCGATAATTTGCGCATTGAATAAAATATAATACGTCGTATACTCCTGTTAACAGATTAACGAATTATTTTAATATAAAAAAATGGTGTTTTAATGATATAACTTACAAATTCAAACCCATTCCGATGGCATCGCTTGCAACCATAATTTTACAAGGATTGTTTGGATCATTGAATTTTGCCACCTGAGCTAATTTTGTGTTTGGTGGTAAACTTCCATAAATCACAGCCACCTCTTTACCTCTGCAAAACGATAAGGGTAAAAATGATTTAAGTTTCGATTGTGAATTGATTCGGTAATTTCTTACAATTTTTCAATGTCACGTGAAACAGTGAATATGTCATTTTTGTCAAAACAAACAATACAATCGCCTGGTTCGAGTTTCTCCAATGAATCGAGTGCTTTGTCTTCGACAGTGAGTTGCGTCAAACGATCATAATGATGGTATTCAAGAGTTTCGCCAGTGGTTCGACACAATCGCTCTAGTATTTCTTTGGTACCAGCCTCACCGCATACATGAATCTCATCAGCGTTTAATCCCAAAAGAGCACGTGTCCAAGCGTATCCACGTTCATCGTGTTTAAACAGTTGTATTTCATCGATAATTGCAACATCAACTATAGAATATAATAAATGCACCGTTGAAACTATATGCCATGAATTATTTCACTATTATTTCATTTTGACTTACATTTTCGTTTTAGCGGTATCATTTCAACTGTGACTGATATGTGATTTGCTTCGGATCTATCTGAATTGCCATATCGTCGTTCTTCGCCCGTCACTAAATCACACGGTGTTCCCTAATTGGATTGATTTTTTGCTATCAATTTATAACTAAAGGTTTATGATTCACTATCAACTCACCATTTTATTGCTTTTTTGAAAAATCTCAAGCGCCAATAGTCTCAATGGGCCGCAATAGACGCCAGTCTTGGCTTCTCGAAAACGTTGCATTGCGCGATAAGTTTTACCTGAGTTTGTTGGACCAGCGTGAAAGATAATTTTCCGAGGCCTACTACGAGCCAGTGGATACCATGCTGATGGATTTCTCAAATCGGTGTTTTTTTGAAAAAGTTCTCTCATCTCTGGAGTAGATATTTGATTCGAAAAATAGGTCACAAACATATCCGTAACGCAACTACTATCTGGTAACATATATTTTACAAAATTTAAAAAGAATGGAAACATGTCGTCTGGTTGAGCAACACCTTCGATGATATCATATAGTTTATTTTGCAGTAAAAGTAATTCACGATTGTCAGGTTCATTTTGTAAACAATATTCCAGAAAATCTTTATTGAGAAAGTCCACGTCTTCATCTGGTGGAATAAATATTGGAAAATTTTGTTATTTGAACGATTCAAAAATATATGACAAACTCTTACCAAGAAGTCCATGGTTCTTGAAGAACTTTCGATTTTTTTCATTTCTTAAAAAATCATTTACTACAAGAACAGTCTCATATAAATCTAAATCTTTGACATTTTTAACGACTAACTGGCAATTTTTGCTTTGTTTTGATGCTTTAAGCAACTCATTATTTTGTTTTTCATGGTCTGATTTACTAGTGAACCGTCTAACGAACGTTTCATTTTTTTGAAATAGATTTCGACGAATTAATTTACTTTGTACCTAAGGGGAGAATCACAAAGAAAGAAAATAATCGACAAATAATCGAAATAATCGAAAAAGAATCAATAACAATTATTAAATAATAGAAAGGCAATTCTTAAGTGAATTGCTCCTAGTTTGTACCCAAATTCTTTGTGAAAATCTCCACATTTTGTTATAACATGTACTGCTTATTTTATTTCAAGGAAAAAGTATTTTGTTTCATCATCAAGTATATATTTCAAAGATTTATTAAAAAGTGTCACTCTTTTTTACTACCAATGAAACATTGACATTTTCGAATATGATCTATAAATAATTTGAATTAAAATGAAATATGATTTGCAATAAAAAAATTATTTAAACAATTTGTGTTTTTTAATGATTGATTAACAATTTGATTGAATGTGACATGAAAATGCACATTTGAATGTAAAATTTGAGCAACTTTAAGCTACCGAGCGCACATGGACATTCATAAATGTCAAACTTCAATAGTGTTTACAAAACATAACCTATTCACGTGTACTCAGTCAGGTCACTGAAAGCGAAAAAAAAAAAAAGAAATCGTTTTAATTTAATAAAATCGAGTGAAAATGTCGTCGTGGAAAAAAGCAGCCAAATCAAATCAAAAAACGCATCGAGAACGTCATCAGCCAGCAGCTCGAAAGCATCTTGGCATTCTTGAAAAGAAAAAAGATTACCAATTACGTGCCAAAGACAAAAATGAAAAGAAAGACACATTGAAATTACTTAGCAAACGGGCTTTAAATCGAAATCCAGATGAATTCTATCATCATATGATCAATTCGCAAATGATTGATGGTGTAAGTGTAATCAGAATAAAGACTATCTAAGTTAATGGACTTTTGTAATATTTATTTACATTGAATTTATAAATGATCTCAATAGGAGCATCATGAGAATGAAGAGGAAGATGAACATACACCGGACCAAATTCAACTGATGCAAACACAAGACATCAAATACATAACGATGAAAAAGACCATCGAAGCGAATAAAATACGTCGAATGCAATCGGAATTGCATATGATTGATGAAGCAAATAACGTAAAAAATACGCATACATTTTTCACAGACTCTGGTGATGAAGACACGGAAATTGACTTGGCAAAGCGGCTCAATACACATCCGTCAATGTTAGCGCGACGCACAAATCGACCGCGTCTAGAAGATCTTAATAAATTAGTCATCAGCGATGAAGATATAGAGGTACGAATTTTTCGTCTATTTTTCTTTATTATCAAAACATTTTCTATATTAGGTTTCGAGCCAGAACAAATATTCAACAAAGATCTTTTATTTAAAAACAAAAACTCAATCTCTTAGGCAACGCGTAAACTCTTCAAAAAGCGTGATGAGGCATACAATGAGCTAAAAAATCGTATTGAACGTGAAAAAATGCTGACAGTGGTTCAACAAAAAATGGAATTAAAGAAAGTACTTCAACAGAAACGTTTACTCAAACCGAAACGTATTGCAGCTGCAACGAAAGACTCTGCGCCTATCTACTCATTCAAATATGAAAGAAAAAAATGATTTTGTTACGAGATTTTTGTTTATAAACGTAAAATAAAACATTTAAAAACTAAAAATAAAATTTTTTTTATTTTACATAAATATAGTAATATTTCCAACAATTAAAATGTCAATGTACTAAGTTCACGGTATATGAAAAATTTAGAACAAATTTGACACTTTGCATCGGTGTAAAATCAAAACAATATGCAACATAACCTCAAATTATTTTATTTATTATTTTCATAATTGTTTGGAGTTTCAAATCATTCGGTGACAATGTTTCTCTTAAGAATTTCGAGGCACACTCAATCGTATCGCCGATATTCGTCCAAAATTCATGTCCAGAATGAATACAGAGAATTTTCAGCGGGAAATATTCGGAATACATTTCTCGATTATTTTGTAAAAGACCATAATCATCGACTTATTCGGTCAAGTCCAGTAACTCCATTCTGTGATCCAACAGTTCCGTTTGTCAATGCTGGCATGAATCAGGTTGTCGTAACGATTACAAATTATGAACAAAAAAGGACTTTAAATCGAATTTTACGTTTTCTGTTTGAATTTGCAGTTTAAAAATATATTTCTTGGAAAATCGACGGCTCCATGCCAAAGAGCCGCCAATTCACAGAAATGTATTCGAATTAGTGGTAAACATAATGATATCAATATTATTGGTACCGATGGTTACCATCATACATTCTTTGAAATGCTCGGAAATTGGTCATTTGGTGACTATTATAAGGTGAATAATACTTTTTCTTGTTTAATTTTTTAGGCTCGATTGAAACAATCAAAAACGTGAATTTTATTGTTTCCCAAAAATAGGAAAGAGCATGTAAATTGGCTTGGAATTTGCTTACAAATTCATATATGATTGATCCACAACGACTTTATGTTACATATTTTGGTGGTGACGAAAGCAATGGATTGGCACCTGACACCGAATGCAGAGACATATGGCGCAGTATTGGTGTGGCCGATGATCATATTTTACCATTTGGTTGTCATGACAATTTTTGGGAAATGGGTCTATCGGGACCGTGTGGTCCGTCTACCGAAATTCATATTGATCATTTGCCATTTGGCGGCAGTGCCGAGAAACGAGCAAAATTCGTTAATGCAGGCACATCGGATCTGACCGAATTGTGGAACATTGTTTTCATCGAATATAATCGGTAAGATATCATTAAGACAGAAATCATCATACAGGCTCAATCATATTTAAATCATGCTTAATGACAATGTGTTAAAATTTTGTAGGAATATCGATGGAATATTGCAGCCATTACATGAAAAATACATCGATACTGGAATGGGATTCGAACGATTAGTTGCCGTGCTACAAGGAAAAATGAGTAATTACGACACCGACCTATTTACACCAATTTTCGATGCCATTCACAAAGTAAACAAAAATGTCACATAATATATGACACGAGCAATATGTTATTATATCGATCAAATTTTGAAACAAAAACTAGGAATCTAAGATGAGACCGTATAGTGGTATTTTCGATGCGGCCGATTCCAGATATGATCTCGACTATGCATACCGTGTTGTTGCTGACCATGCGAGAATGTGTAGTGTTTGCATTGCTGATGGAATGTATCCACAAACCAAGTAATTTTGCAGCGTCTATTCACTCACATCATTTAAATATGATTTTTTGTGAATTGATCAACTTTTTTTTATTTTCAGTTATCGTTTGCGAAAAATACTGCGACGAACGATGAATATATGTGAAACTGTTTTTAAAAACGAAAATCTCATTCAAACCGCAATTCTACCCGAAATTGTGAAAACATTGGGCCCCGTTTATCCCGAATTAACAAAAAATTTGAAAAATATTCGAGAGACAATTACCTACGAAAATGAACATAACAAAACGATTCGATTGAGAAATCAAAAAGAATTTAAATCGTTGAACATTAGCCCCAAATCTGATATAAGCGAAGAAGATACGATTGACTGTTCTGAATTTTCTGCTGGATATCGTGATGTTGAGAAATTTTTAGAATTGAATTCGTCGATAATGAGTTTGCCAAACGATTTTTTGTACGATAAATTGCATGCAAGAGGCATACCAGACAAACTCATTGAAAAAATTGCTTACGAAAAGGATATTATGGTTGATATGGACAATTTTGCACAGTACAAACAACAGAAAAAATTTGAAGCCAAAATGAGCCTGAAAAATGTGAATAAATCATTTTTAGATTCAATTGTTACAGCCAATGTACCGAAAACTGACTATAGTTATATGTATGATTATTCATTTGATTCAAATGCCAAACAATACAATGTTAAGCCGATAACAGCAAATATTCAACTCATTCAGTGTGGTGAAGAGAACCGTTATCATATTGTATTGGATAGAACGAATTTTTACCATACTGCCGGTGGTCAAGATGGCGATATTGGAAAAATGATCGATTCAAATGGCAATATTTTCATTGTAAATGGTGTTGTAGTGCAAAAAGGGTGTGTAATTCACAGCGGTTATTTTGAAAACTCTTCAAGCGATCCATTTAAACAAAATCAAAATGTAAAATTATTTGTTGACTCATCGAATAGAACGTCATTGTCACAGCATCATACAGCAATGCATCTGCTTCAGGCGGCCATGAAAAATGTAACGGGTCAAATAATATTTCAACAATCGAGCCATATAACGTGCAAAGAGTTAAAATGTGATTTGGGATCAATTGGTCAGCGTATTGATCTCAAACAATTAACGCAAATTGAAACAATCATCCAAAATGTGATTGAAGCAAAAGTTTCAATTGAAACAAGATTTTTAATGGCACATGATTTGTATGCAATGGATAATGTGACAATACTACCGGGTGAAATTTATCCAGATGAAAACGTTCGTATATTAACGGTCAATGATCCAATCACAAATTTCATATCAATTGAACCATGCTGTGGTACTCACGCTCAAAATACCAGCGATTTAATCGATTTTTGTATAACTTCGTTTAAATTCGGTAGTAATTCATATAATGTTACCGCTGTAGCTGGTCAATCAGTTAAATCTTTCAAAGAAAATGGGCAACGTTTCTTGAACAAATTCGAATTGTTGAAGAGCAGATTAAACGATACGAATTCATTGGATGAATCGAAATGTATTGAAATTGATGCAAAAGAACTATCAAAAGAATTGACTGAACAACCAATGCCGTATGTAATAAAAACCAAAGCAATGACCGAAATGAAAAAATTCGTAAAGAATATCGCCCAATCGCAAAAAGATCAATGGCGAAAAATCATTACCACCGAAATGGTAGATATTTTAAATAAACGTGATCAGAATAAAGACACATTCATTATTCATGTATTGAATACGAAAGATGGTCTTGATGATTCACTTTTCGATGACGCGGAACAGGTGTGTCATGATTTTCCGCTGATATTATTGAATGTATCGAATAATAAAATAATTCATGGACGTGCATGTATTCCAACCAAATATACAACAAATAAATTTAATGTTCAACATTGGATGCAAGAGATCGGAAGAACACTAAATATCGAATGTCAAACAAATAAGAAGAAAAAACCGTTAGAAAAATGTTGCTTTGTGAACGTACCAGATAAGGAATTCTCACCAAATATCCTGAGTAAAGCATTAGAAAAAGCGACAATTCGAGCCGAACAGGCATTTAATACAGTCGTTTCGGCCGATCAAAATGAACGAAAGATTTTGGAAGATAATCTCATTGCAAGCATTGATGGACTGATAGCAAAGTTAAACAATGCGAATAGTGTAGGCCGCATAATTGAAATAGAAACAGAGGTAAAGAATATAAAAGATCACATGAAAAACAATCTATTCAACTATTTGATCCAAAGAAAATGCACAGCTGAGTTGGTGGATATTAGTATTAAATTGTGCGAAGCTAGAAAAGAAATTGAGTTGTAAGTAATTGCATTTATTACGAAAACTATGCACGTTGTTCCGTATTGATTATATTTAAATGTTATTTTACAGAAATTTTTTGAATGCTGAGCTAAACGATTCATCGAAGAAACAATTACCATATATTGTGTGCACAATAAATACAGAACATAGACTGGTATCAATGATGTATTCCACGGATTTGAATGCGGACATTCCCAATGTCTTAATCAATATAACAAATGACCAAGTTATTGGTCGTATAAGCATACCATTGAAGAACTTAAGTGATCCCTTTTATTTTCGTGCCAAACACTTGGCCGACGTATTTATTGAACAATTCGGTGGAAAATGTATACACGATTCAACCAGATACGATGCATCGGTGTGTGATTTTAGTTTGAATGTTAAGAGCGTTAACAGCGAACAATTAAATAACATGTTTAAAAAAGTTGAACAAATGTTAAAAGAAATTTTAGATGCTTAATTTTGTTATTGTTGTATTTACAAATAATTTTAGCCAAGTTTTATGAAGAAATAAAAAGTTTGATGAAAAATGTTCGTGTTTTGGTAATTTTGTGCCTACTAATCAATCATTACCTCTTTTCATAGGTTCTGATATAGGTCGTAATTATCCCCTCGCGTTTCAGAACACTCCACAATTTTATTTATTCCCCTAGAATATAATTCAATACACTGGACAGAATAGATTTTTGTGAGAAAATGTTTTCCAATGTCCTACGGTTTTTTGTGAAATTTGTGTTTTGACATAATAATTAAAACAAAGTTTTGTCAATAATCGAACATTTGTATTTAAAAAATAGAACAACTTTTTGGTTATAGATTAATCATTGATTGATTGCTATAGAATAAAAACAGCGTATCGAAAGGTTGCATTTCAAAGCGAAACACCGTCATACAAAATACAGCAAAAAATGTATGTAAAAACAAACTTTGGTGTGCGACCGTATCATACGCTGTATTTATTCTAGAGAAAACACATAGTATACTATATATACATATATATATATATTTATTTTAGAGTACATAATTTAATGACTATCCATAAATTGTATATCAGATAACAAATAAATGCAGTTCGGCAATGGTCGTGGCTGCGGTGATAGTACTGTAATCACTTGTCGTTCCATGTCAACATTCGTTCTGCGAATAAAAAGAAACATTTATGAATTATTATTATTAATGTTATTGATAGCAATCAACTGAATGCTTGAGAATTAAAAAAAATATTTTTAACTTACACACAAACGAAGCCAGCAATATTTGAGTTAATTACATCGTCTTCAATATTATCACAAAATGTCATTGCCAAAATGTGGTGTAAAATGGAATTATTTGGTTGAATTGGTAACAATTTGGTCTTATTACTATCGGCCTTCATTCCAAGTGGCATACATGAGTCGGGCAGAGCGGGCGCACCAACTTTACATATCTGAATATCCGACCATTTTACATCAAACGAATGCGGATAAAATGGTGTACGTCGTCCGTAAAAGTATTCTCTGATTCGAGTGTCACGCGCATCGCTTCGTTGACTTCGGCTACGTTCAACAACGCCACCGCTTTTTGTTAAATATACCACTTGTGTGGCCTTTGGAGAGTCACGCAACAGTTCATTATACAAACGCTCTTGGTCCAATACAAAAATGGCAGCCACTTGAAATTCTTGTGCTGCATGCAAAATATGCTTATAACCTGCATCTTTAACCCAACCACATGTATTGATGATCATTCCAGAGCTCTTGATTTTTTTATTCGTTTGCAAACGTTTCAATGTCACTTCGGCCAATTTTGATAATAATAATTTATAGTATGCATCATTGGCACTTGGACTGAGATTACCGTATTGATAGACAAGCGGTGCCTGTTGCGAGAAACCATCCTCAACATGTGCGATTCGTTCGACTAGAAATGCACCAATTGTACCCGGAATTGAAATGCTTCCTTGACCTACATCCAAATCAACGGATATCGGTGTTCGGCCCTGTCTCACAGCATAATTGAGTAAAATTTTACAAAGTGTTGACTTTCCCACATCACACGGCCCAACAACCATTGCAATTGGACCATTTTCATTCTGTTCGTCGGCCGAAACACGGAGCTGTTCAATAGCGGCATGTGCATTTAAATATTGTATCATCGGCGTTTCGCGTGCAATATAATGGATATTCATTTCGCCTTTGACCATCAGTCTGCATCCATGATATGTGAATATGGCCATTTTTGCGCCGGTATGAAATTCATACGGTTTCTTTGCAACAAGCTCAGTACCAAATAATTCGGCTTGACCTTCTTTCAGCTGAAAATAAAAAATCACAAACGAAAATGATTAAAATTCAGAATGATGAACACGGCAATAGAAATACAAAAATTTACACCGTTACTTACTTCGATAATCACTTTTCGGTTACGCGTCTCGATTTCAAACCGCAGTTCCGAATCGGCTTCTAAGACAAATTCTTGAGTTGGTAACTTTTCGATGTCCATTTTGCTGTGATGTCGTACTAATACTGATCCTTTTGGTCAATGATAAAATCACAAGAAAACTAGAAAGAAGTATTAAATTCATTAATGTACCGCTATTATGGATGCGTTGGTAATGTTCTTTTACCACGAATTAACACCAATGATATTTTCTATTTGACGGGTATATTTCATCAAAACAGAACGATGCAATATAAAATTTCAAACGTCAAATGGAACAATTTTTTGTTAGTAGTAGCATTGAGGTTATGATAACAAATTCAGCAGCTGGAAATGACAAACTAGATTCAGCAACATTTGTTTATTTGTTTTTAACTCATATTTTGTGTGCTGAATGCGTATTTTCAATTCATGTTTTTTGCCGAATTTCATGTTAAATCAAAGATCACAGAAAGTTCGTCACGGGTCGTATTTTATTTTCAAAATGGTTAATCGAAGCAAGCCTAACGTAAATCCATCATTTTCAAAATACCTCAATAATTTTCATATTGAAATCTCATATTGAATAATGGAAAGGGTTGCTAAGAAGCCGACGTGTTTGGCCTGCGTTTCATTTGTTTGCTGAATGTAACAAAGTAACCAATCGCATCGCGTCGGTGACGTAATTTAAAGCTACAGTATAAATACAAGTGAGTGTCTCGAATTCGATTCATACGTTGGTCAATCTTAGAGCGGTTCATAGCTATTGCTGTACTAAGTGACTGTGTGATCTTTGCATAAAACAAAAAAGAAACTTAAATCGTTTTACATTTTTTTGTATTTGTTTAAAGAGAAAAAGAAAAGAAATTCGTCAAAATGGTAAGAAATAAATTCTTTTAATTATTTAGTTTCTTTTTCTTAAATTTTAAATATATTTTATTTTAAATTTCAAATTTCACAAACAAAAAAATGTCATCGAAAGACGAAAAAACATTAGAGCGCAATTCAAATATTTGAATTTTATATGTTAATATATGAGTTAACGTTTGATCGTCTTTCATGTTCTTTTCGTAATTAAATTGGATCGTAAATATAAATCGTTTGCCTTTCTCATTTATCCAATCAAAAATAATTAGCGCTGCCGGCATCGGTGGCCATATAAAATATATATATCGTATATATTTCTGCAAATGGCAAAAACTTTTCCATTCTATCTACTTTCCTCTTGTATTTTCTGGTTACTTTTTTGATGATTCTACTAATTAGAATTCTAGTCGGTATGAATGAAATATATTCATATTAGAAGTCAATGGAAACCAACTCACTTTTTTGTTGTTTCATCAATTGTTTTGGCTAGAAACGATTTCAAACAAATATCGATCAAACAATTTTCATATTCAATGACCAGATGGTTTTGGAGCGAGTTGTGAAGAGAGATGAAACCACACCCGAAATTTCGTTTGTTATTTTTCATTTCATTGTTCCATTCAGAAAAATTAAATACATGATCGATACTTTTCGTTTTACCATAAAAGGAGAATGAATTACACCAACGTTGTCTATCTTGCTCACGCTCTCACTCTTTCTGACTCACACACTCGTTCACTCTTTGGCTGTTGTTGTCGTTGTTTTATCCATTTGGGAATGAATGTTCCGCTAACCATATGCTGCAACATTCACTTGTGTCCGCGTATATACTCATTGCGGTAGTCTATATTTAAATACGTACATACAAAAAGTAAAGCATGGTTAGTGAAAGAAATTCGTTTGTGGCCTCCTAAAATCGATGCATGGTGTATGACTCATATATAGTCTCTCACTGCCGCGCTGCATGCAAACATTCAAATCATCAACAACCATCGTCGGTTTTGAGCTACTTTTCGTATTTTCCTTTTGTACACTTATTCGGTGCTTTCTTTTTATCGCTTCATTTTCTGTGATATTCAACATAAGAAAAGGAAGAGAAAAAAGAGCAGCCGCAGTCGCAAAAGAAAAAAGAAACAAAACACAAAATTGAAATGTAAATGTATTTATGTGGATGGTGCGTCGTCTACTTTGATATTTTTGTTCTTTTTATTCACGAAATTATATCGTTAAGTCAATTCTATAAATGTTAAAGTCGTTAAAAGTACACGGAATCGGATTTAGTTCATTTTCGTAATTCTTATTCTTCTTTCGTTATCTTCTTATTTCAGCGTGAATGTATCTCAGTTCATGTTGGACAGGCGGGTGTACAAATTGGTGAGTGGAACGACCGCTTTTCTTCTTCTTTGCATGTACTTATCAATAATAGAATAAAATTGAGTCAAGCGAATTGATTAGAATTGCTATTCAAATCGATACATACTTAGTTTGAATTTAATTTTCTATTTTTGTACATAAGATCCGTGATTTTGAATTAACCACACACATTTATATATCGTTCTTTTCATTCAATTGAAATCTTCATTATTTTCTCTTTTTGCTCTATTAGGTAATGCCTGTTGGGAGTTGTACTGCCTTGTAAGTTTATTAGGCCTTTAACGGTGTCTATTTTGCTAGAATGACGTCATACAGTCATTTATAATATTTTTTTTTTTTTTGCTTTTTTTCGGTTGTTTTTATTTTATAACTAAAGGAGCATGGAATTCAGCCAGATGGTCAAATGCCATCAGACAAAACAATTGGAGGAGGTGATGATTCATTCAATACCTTCTTTAGGTAATTATTATTTTTCAGCCCACGTGAAATAGTCTCAAAAATAGTAACATAAACAAAAGCTCTATATTTGGTTTTTTTTCTTCAATTTTTATTTATCTATAGTGAAACTGGTGCCGGCAAGCATGTTCCACGTGCCGTTTTCGTCGACTTGGAACCAACTGTCGTCGATGAAGTTCGTACCGGTACTTATCGTCAATTATTCCATCCAGAGCAATTGATTACCGGCAAAGAAGACGCTGCCAATAATTATGCTCGTGGTCATTACACGATTGGCAAAGAGATTGTCGATCTAGTTTTGGATCGTATTCGTAAATTGGCTGATCAATGTACCGGTTTGCAAGGATTTTTAATCTTCCACTCGTTTGGTGGTGGCACTGGATCTGGTTTCACTTCATTGTTGATGGAACGTTTGTCGGTTGACTATGGTAAGAAATCCAAATTAGAATTTGCCGTCTATCCAGCACCACAAGTCTCAACCGCTGTTGTCGAACCATACAATTCCATTTTGACAACTCACACCACATTAGAGCATTCGGACTGTGCATTTATGGTTGATAATGAGGCCATTTATGACATTTGCAGACGTAATCTTGACATTGAACGTCCAACATATACCAACTTGAATCGTTTGATCGGTCAAATTGTGTCATCGATAACCGCTTCATTGCGTTTCGATGGTGCTCTCAATGTTGATTTGACTGAATTCCAAACAAATTTGGTGCCTTATCCCCGTATTCATTTCCCATTGGTCACCTATGCCCCAGTCATTTCAGCTGAAAAAGCATACCACGAACAATTGTCAGTGGCTGAAATCACTAACGCTTGCTTTGAGCCAGCCAATCAAATGGTCAAGTGTGATCCACGTCACGGCAAGTATATGGCTTGCTGCATGTTGTACCGTGGTGACGTTGTTCCAAAAGACGTTAATGCCGCCATTGCTACCATCAAGACCAAGGTATACATTTTTGTTTAAAACTCTTTTTGAGTATATTTAAAAAGACATTGAATGAATTGCATCTTAATTGGATTAAATTTTAATTTTGCAGCGCACCATCCAATTCGTCGACTGGTGTCCAACTGGCTTCAAAGTCGGTATCAACTACCAACCACCAACCGTTGTTCCAGGCGGTGATTTGGCTAAGGTTCAACGTGCCGTATGCATGTTGTCCAACACTACTGCCATCGCTGAAGCCTGGGCCCGTTTGGATCATAAATTCGATTTGATGTATGCCAAACGTGCATTCGTTCACTGGTACGTCGGTGAGGGTATGGAAGAAGGTGAATTCTCCGAGGCACGTGAAGATTTGGCTGCCCTCGAAAAGGACTACGAAGAAGTTGGTATGGACAGCGGTGAAGGTGAAAATGAAGGCGGTGAAGAATACTAAACTGCCACAATGACAATTGCCTGATATTTTGCATATTCAAATGTATTCAAATAAAAATACAATAAATGCACGCTGCTTTTAATTTATCTGTACACACAAGAAATCTTTGGTGTGAAAAAAAAAATTCAATTTTTGTCAATGAAACAAAGAAAATAAAAAGCGAAATTAAGACCTTAATATTATTCACAAAGATCTGAATAAAAAATGAAATAAAACGCAGTTTCTTTCTTCAAACAAGCAAACATCTGGTGATTTCATTCATTTCGAAATTTAAAAAAAATTCAAACTTGGCGGCATTTTTTATAATTTGACGCATGCGCACATGACCAAAATCACATACCATATTAAGACGTACTTAAATGAATACTCTATACAATAGTTTAGTACTATATGTGAACGTATCGGTAGTTCGTAGTTTATTACAGGGAGATTGACAATAATATGATCCCCATAAGCAATGAAGAATTACAGCTGGAAAATATGACGGACATGTTTCTTTTTTAATTGACCAACACATACAGTCGTACATATATGGTATGATTTGATTTTGATGCGCTCATATTAGCACCACCCTGTGCGTGGCCAATTCACGCATTTCGACGGTAACACTCAAACTGTAAGCAGACAGTAGCGTTCATACTGTCCTTGACGATCTATCATTCACACACGACTCTTCTTATTGTTTACGTCTTTTAAAACATAATTTTTTGGTTTTATTCGATTCGCTTCAAATTTGGGTTTATGAGTTTTTTTTCGTCTTTTATTTCTTCTCATTGGTTTGTAAACGCAAATTTAACGAAGTGAAATAATATTAGAAAATAAGAAAAACAGATACAGAATAAACGAGTTTTAGAGCAAATAAGAAAAAAAAACAACATGTCAACGCCAGATAATTCACCGAATCGTTCTTTCAATAATTCGCAATTACAATTGCCAAGTCCCATTATTACCAGACGAACACGAACCGCATCCACGTAAGTATATCGATACGTGCATAAAAAACAAATTCATGTTTTATGTATTTGGGTGAATTGTTGCATCATTTATCGGACATTTTGTGTTGTTGAAATTTTGTGCATGTTTTTTTTTGTTTGGTTCCTTTGCTGGACAAAAAGCGAACACATTTTGTTGGTTAGGAGTTTGACCGCTGAGTGATATTTAATGCGTTCGACGCAATAGGCACACACGATATTGCGATTCATGACACTTTTTCTTCTTCTTTTGTACTCACTATAATACATATTGATACGTAAGTGTATCGATAACGATTCAAAGGAAAATGACAAACTAAGTAGAAAGAACATTATTAGAACGGAATGTGTGACGATAATTGTAAATTATATCAATGTTGACATTTCCATTCATGGAAGAATTAGAGATTATCCACTATTTTTGATTTGAATATTTTCCATAATAAATCAGCTATTTAAGTTGTATATATGATATGATGCGTACGTGATTGAAAGTAAATCGGAACACAGACATACAATTAAACATGTTTTACACACTCAACGTAATGATATGTAATTGTTTGTTTGTATTTTGTTAGAATATCCACTTTTACACACCTCTCAGAAAAATCGTTCTGAAGTTTCATCACAACGAGTTTTGTTTGCCTCACTCTCTTTTGTACCGAGTGTCATTTTCGCCGAATATGATGCTTACGCGCGATATGTTTGCATGTATGTGTGGTAGAAGCTGTGTGATGAGATGTTTTAATTGCAATTAACCTATTAACGACATTGACATGTTTCACAATGTTCTAATGTAAGTGTTTATTTTTAATTTACAGTTCGGCACGGGCATTAGCCAATCCTATTGAAACGGGCCTCGTAAAAAGTTTCAGTCGTGGCAAAGGGCATGGATTCATTACACCCCATGGCGGTGGCGAAGATTTATTCGTACACATTTCAGAGTAAGTGACTATACTGTAGTACAATGCATTTTTTGTTTGTTAAAATCGGAATTTTGATAGAGTTGTACACACATAAACCTTTTTAACGAGACATATGCAATTTGTAAGTCAGTGTTAGTACAACTGTTACGATTCCCAACAGAATTCAATCCTCATTTATGAAAAATGAATTTTTAATTATGTTTGTTATTCGTTCGTTTATGTTTTTTTTTTTTTTTTCATTTTAAAAATACGCGTACAGCATTGAAGGTGAATATGTGCCAATGCAAGGTGATGAAGTGAGATATCGTTTGTGCATCATTCCGCCGAAAAATGAGAAACACCAAGCCGTTCACTGTGAAATTATCAATTTCTGTCCAAAAAAGCATAAGCGATGGGAAGAGCCAAATGATGCCGAAGACGGCCATTTCGTCCATTGATTATAGCATATGCTAAACGAAAAGAAAGAAGAAGCAAAACAAAAAAAACACCACCATCGACGAAATTATATTATCGAATAACTCATTCTATTCACGATGTTCATGATATTATATAAAATGTACGAATGAATTTCGACAGCGAACAACAGCAACATTTTTTCACAAAGTAATCTATAGACCACTACATGGAAGAATTTGCAATGCACAATATTTATTACGCTTTTCGAATAGATGAAACACAAAAATTATATACAGATTAGAAAGATAACTTCGAAAAGAATATAAAACACCAAAAACACAACAAATATTTACTTCAATCAATTTAACAAAGTGCGTGCACAGGCTTCAATCAGAATTGAAAAAATGCATTTTCTATCAGTCAAATAACTCTCAATAGGATTGACTTAACCGCTGATTGATATCATATATTCATATAGTAGAAATGAACGAAATTCATCCTTCTTAATTAGATTACATTAAAATGCTAGAACAGAGTATATGATAGTTTCGATTTTGATTTTTGTTTTATAATAAAATTCCTTGCTTAATATGCACCGGATTTACTAGTAAAACTTTCCATTTTTTTTTATTAATATCGGTTTATTACAAGCAAATGGTTTTTTTATTAGGTTATAGTTTCTAAAGTATTATTATTTGTTGAAATAAATGTACACGAGTTACAAAAGTTGCATTTCTTTTATTTCCTTGATTATTTTCAGTAAAAAAGAAAACTGGTAATGAATAATACAGGTAAACAATACTGGGCTCTGTGACAACTCACGAGTGATTTTGAGCTAGCGGGTTGTTTTAAGTATAGATAATTTGTACTGTGTGACTATGGGGGACTGAATGATACTCGATTTTATTTTATCCGATATCCAAAATTGAATTTTACCCGACTGTTTTTTTAAAGTTCGGATAAAATTTATTTTAGCACACACAAAAGTCAATTTGATAAAAATAAAAAAAAAACATTTAAATCAAGGCAGATCTTTCGTATCAAAATAATTTGTTTAATTTTTACTTCAACTAGAAAACTCAAATGTACATTTCAGAAGCTAATTTACAAAAATCAAATGACAATAAAGGCAATGATATATGGTTTCTATTTGCAAACATATTAAATTTTAAATGACCAAAAATGAAATGCATACTATGTTTTAAATTTGAATCTTACTGAAAATTGAATTTCTATTTGCAAATTCTTAAATGACCCAGAATGAAATGTTTACTATGTTTTTAAATTTTAATCTTACTGAAAATTGAATTTTTGATTGGACCATCATTTTCATTCATTAAATTATTTCGATTTTTATGTATAAAATATGACTCAAATGCATGTAATTCTTGCTTGTATTTTGATTTATTTAAAACACACGAAAATCTCATTATTATTCTATCTTTCGTATAATCAACAGATTAAAAAAAAGAGTTTTGATATCAAAAAATTTGACCTAGAACAGAGCCATAATATTTTATGATGCATTCCGATCCAAAGCTAAATTTACACGTTCAAAATGGGGGAAAAAGGTGATTAGAAGAAAATCGTATGATATATTTTTTTAAATATTTTTATTTTTCTTCGAATACGTTGAGATTAGTTACAAAACAATTACGGAATTTCTATCAATTGCAATAAAATTATAAGCATTACAAACATATTTTTAAAAAAATGAGCTTCTATGTCTTCTATTGATAAATGGCTGTGTAATCAGAAATAGCGTAATCTTTATATTTTGTCATGGAACAATAAAAAATCATATTAGTGGAAATATCGGATAATTTTGAATGGTATCCCATTATCGGTTAGGATACGAGTTATTTCAATTTAAACAGAAACATTTCAAAATATGAATCGCTATCTACCAGCCAATAGTAGTCAAAAAATTTACCGACTACTTTGTCTCAAAAATGAAAACAATTCGATTTTACAATTAAATTTATCTTTTTCAATCCAAATGTTGAACGGATGGAATCAATTTCGATATGAGATCGATCTGGTTGGTGGTTGATACAAATTAAATACTTATAGCGTGTGCATGTTTATTTTCTAAATTCTATGGATTAAGTTAAAGGCAAGTACTCTAATACCGTGGCATTGGTTGAACGTTGATTGGAACTTCGATGCAATCTGTTTCGATGTAGATGGCAATAACACCGTTGAATGGCGTAATATGGAGATCTTGTCTAAGTTCAATATCAATTTTATATTCGGTTCCCGGTTTGATTTGTCCCGATCTGGTTGAAAAATGGAAATAATCTCGATAATCGGAATCGATTTGAAATGTTTGTGGTTGTTGAAAGTAACTCTGGATGGTGAGTGCTTTTCTTGTATTATTTCTTGTATCCATTAACAATCGTTTTGGATGAATAGACCACATTTTGCCATCGTCATTTTTTTGCTTCGGTTGCAATGATGAATTGTATTGATTTGGTGTTTCGATCAACGTTTTAAACAGTACTGAATCTTCCATACCACTTAAGTCACCGTCACCCGTTTCATCCAAATTGGTGCGATTAATTGTCAATGCAATTTCCGATGTTTTAAAACAACCAAATAAATCGGACACATTATCAATGTGCTCGCAAAAATCTGTGAAACATTCGATGCCAGCGACTGGAAACCGATATACCAAGAATTCAAGTTGTTTGTATGTGGCTGGAATGTCACCGTTTCGTGTTAGCATCGTTTCGATACGTTGGCGATTTGGTTCCGAACCAAAGATTACCTCAAGCGTACCGACCGTTAGTACTTCACATGATTTTTCACGCAAACGTTCCAAATCCTTTCGCCGTAATTTATAGCTAACGGTTATCGTTGTCGAACAATCTCGCTGTATAGCGCATTTATTTGGTTCGATTGAAATATGAGTGTCATTGATGCATTGATTTGTTTTTGGTTTAACAAAAATCGTTGCAATACCATTCAATGGGCCTTTATTGTAAATGGAAAACGAACGCTTCAATATGGTTGATGTGATGCTATTTGTTTCACCCATTTTCAAGAATGAACTACCAACGGGTCCTCGTTCAACACCTTGCAATTGTAAAACCGTACTGCCACCATATGCCCATAAATTAACTGCACGTTCTGTTTCTTCGGGCCAATGTTTTGTCGGCTTAAAAATAACTCGACCAATTGCTTTGCCAATGACTGTCGGACAAAATGTAATGGCTATTGTACGACATTCATTGCCCTGTAATGCAACTGAATCAACATCAGTGCCGGATGCAATTTGAAATCCCGGTCCAACGACATTCATTTTCAAGCTCAATTTCTTTTCACTCGTATTCTTGATGACGAATGTTTTTGTAACGCTTTTTCTTAATTTTATACACTCCCAAACAAGTTCGGATGTGTTTGATTTTAACGGAAATTTTCCATCATGTTGTGTGAATTCACTGTGTGTGCTCATTTGTGAATTGCATCTTTTCTCAAGCGAAATGGCATCCTGATAGGACGATCGCAATCCATGCAAACCGTAATTTGGCAATGACATTTTCATTCGATCAGGTGATGATCGATTCATTGGCATTGCATAATGGCGTTGTTCTTCCATTAGACGATTTTCAATTGATTTTTGTATTGTTGGATTTAAATCGGTCGAACATTTTCGCACCAATACTGGTGACTTTGGTCGCTTTTCAGGTGAATTAATGCGTAATTTATTCAACATTAAACTTGATACATCGTCCAATGGATTTTTTTCTGGCGAACGCATGCGTTGCGATGAATGATGACTCTTGTTGTTATTGTTGTAAACATGTTGTACATTTTCTTTTTGCTCGAATCGGTTTTCAACTGGCATTTGCATTATTTCTTCATTTGTCAATGGTGAGACTTTGCGGTGTGCTCGTTTTCCCGTATTCATGCTGTTTTCAATTGGTCTCGGTGGCGACCGATTCTTGATCGGTGAACAATTACTTCCCAAAACAAATCGATTAGTTGGAACTTCGAGATATTCTTTATCGCCGTCTATGACTTCAGTATCTGTGCTACAATTAGCATTGGTCATGTGCTCGTCATTCTGCTCCTCAATTTTCGTGCTATTCATACGATTTAGCATGTCACCGGCATCTTTGTCAACATACTCATGTTGATTATACTCTCGATAATCTTGATTTTGTTGTTTACTGACCATTTTTGCTTGGGGGCTTTGCGATTTTTCCTTTGATATTACATTTGGGGTTGGTGATAGCTTTGATTTATTTGGATATAATTTATCGAGGAACGATTGTGGTGTTTCAGCATCGTTTTCTTCTTAACATTAAATGAAAAATAAACGTGAAGCAAAATAAGAATGTTAATATAAATAAAGTTCAATGTACAATTGAAGAGAGAGAAAAAAAATTTTTTTTAGCAAATTTACCCAAATGATGTTTTATAGTTGATAAACTTATGACCGATCTTTCCTTATCATATGTCGCCGAGCTAATTCTTGGAGCCGTATTTGTCACTGTACTTGATTCATCATCTGTGAACGAAGATGAAGCTGTCGAATAAAAAAAAGTAAGATAAGGAATTTTCCCACCAAGAGCGAAGAAAAAAAAACAATAACAAACTTGAACTTGAACTTCAAAAATTATTCAATAAACAAACTAACCGGATTGCATCGAATTTGACACGAGAGCGATTGGTGTATGTTTCTTTGGACTTTTGGCCGGAATCATTTCGGTTAAATCTTGGCAACGATTTTGAAAAAATCGTCCAATTGACAGATCTTTTTGAATTGTAGTTTCGCCCAGGTATGCAACCGAAAAATCCGTCATATTTGTCAGTTTTCCATGTGGTTTTGCAAACTTTTCGTCCGACACTGATGATGACATTGACATTGACATTGATACACCATTCATTTGTGGTATGTCGGCAAACTCTTGTTCCCACTCTTTTTCATCTTTGTTTAATTGATCGTGCATCTATTCCCAAAACAAAATTCACACAAAAACATAAATTATTTATTTCATTTGGGACATTTCATAAATAAAAAAAATGTGCCCGTTTACCTCTTCGGCTGGTCGAAAGTCGGCTGACACACAACTTATATTGTCGCTTTGTGGTGGAAATTGTGATGCAGAAAATTCAAATGCCATATTACTGCGAATCGATGTGCTTAACGTACCGGCTCGTTGTTGACTTATATTTCGAATTTCGTGAATAAAGCTCTTTTGTAGAATATCATCAACCGATAATTTATCGGAATTCAAATCGTGATGCTGTGCACCAAATTCATTTCCCCATGCCGATGATGCACGATCGCTTATATCGCCTGAAGCATACGTCATATCGGAATTTGTTTGGTCGTAAATTGTTTGATCTTCAACGATGTCACTGAAATTAATCGAAGACTCTCGTCGATATTGTTGCCGATGCTGTTGCCATAAATTGAGTTGGTGTTGCTCATTTGACACATTTTTTTCGTTCGTCTTGGTTGTGTACATTTTTATCGCGGTCCTTTTTTGTTCGCTATGCGAATTTCGGTGACACTCTGAAATCAGTTTCAAATTTTAAATACAATGGCATTTTTTTTATCAAATCGAATCTTTCTCTTCGAAAACATATGTTTTAGTTTAATTTCAAAAACAAAAATTTAATTAAATTTTAATTTTTTTTTTTTCAACGAAGAAAATAGCGTTACGGCTTCCATTCAATAATGTCGAACGCTTGGCATCAATTGTTTTGTGTTCATTCCATTTTCCATATAATAACATAATTTTGATATTGCTTATACTTACATATTTGACGGAGGAAAATTATATTGGAACTATGTGTTTTAGATAAGACTTATACAAATGATATTAAAATATTAAAAATTTCTCTTTCTAAAGAAACAAACAAAGATATCTTTGAGGAAAAAAGAGAAATACACTAACTTGGTTAACATATAGAGTGTACAGAAATTCGGTTGCGTTTTGCGTTTTGAATTGACATTTGACGCAGGGTTGTACTCTCCGACGACGTACTTATGTTGATCGTATTTGTTTTATCGGTATGTTTAGGGTTTAACAAATGTAAAGTAAATATCTCCATTTTTTTTTAAATATTTTGAAATGTTGTACATCCATCACAAAATGAAAATCGTTGCAATGTTTGTAGAATTGAGGAACCTGTTAATTTTAAGAATCGAATTCAAATTGTGATAAAATTAGTAATGGATTTTTATTTTATTTATGATTTTTATCGGAAAACGAAATTGTTATTTCTTATATATATATATGCAATTGACAAAATATGAACATAACAAAGATTTTTTTATTGATTATGACAGTATTATATGTTTTAAATACGAAACCGATGAAGATGACTGTATTCGTAAAAGATGCATGCATGCATGTGAACGGTGCGATTTTTATGTGGACAATTTGTAGTTAACAATCGTATCAACTTGATGAAGTCCAGTTGAAAATGAACGCAATTTAACTGTTTGTGAATTTTGAATGCTAACTTCATTGGTTTCATTCCATTTTTCGGGTAATTCACAATCTTTGATCGTATGAATGAGAACATCAAATGAACAGATGCAATCCAATAGTGGTAAATAGCTGACGGTTGCTGATATTTGACGCATTACCGAACCGATTTCTTGTTGAATACGTTTTAGCTCTTTCTTTGCCGTTGGATTATTTGGATCCGAATTTTCTTGGGCACCATCATTTTGCACCAAAAACTCCCAACACTCGAGCACCTCTCTGGAATGGGCATTCGTTATCACCAAACAAACCTTTTCTAATTCATTTTTCGACAACCATTCTGTGTGAGAAAAAAACAATAGAATTTCAATGTGTTTTGCAAAACAAATCGGATGAAATAAAATAAATTTCAGTTCCGTTTGGTTTACCTTCAGTTTGTGAAAGAACATTTTTCAAAAAGTCTTTGATTTTAGCTTCGGTTGACATGAGAATTGTCAAACCGTATTGCTGATGATTTTCGAATGTTTCAGCTGGATAAATACCTCGTTGGAATAATATTGAATTTATGCCATAATCTAATTCATTGAAAAATGATGTAAAAACAAAATACAGAAAATAAATTGATTTGATATTTCAATTGGATAAAAAAAATAAACTTTCATCAGATACTTACTGAGATATTCAGAGATAATAGCCGCCGAGCCTTTTAATGTGATTGCATTTCGTGTTGCTTGCGATGTAGCCATAATGTTGAAATAAATGAATAATATTCAAGCACAGAGTTTGTAATTCATAGCAATTATAATGAATGATTACACGCAATAAATATTATTGAATTGAATTCAATTGTTTCATCAATATAAATCGAATTATTTTGGATTTGTTTCTGATTCACAAAGTATTTCTTAAACAGCACACAACTTTCTTTGTTCTGTCACCGAGAAACCGGTGGATTTTAAAATTTACGATTTCGCTTCGTTAAGTTGGCATATTAATCTACACATTTATTTCGTTTGTCCGAAAGCTTATGTAGCGCCATCTTTTGATCATTTTTTCAATTTGTTGGTTTTGAATTTATATGGCAGAGTATAGTTAACGACAACCAATGATATTTGAATATTTGAAGAGTCGTATTTGAACTTGATTTTTTTTATTGATCATTGTTCAATTTAAAAAAGTGTTTGGGTTTCAATTCGAATGTGGAATCGAAAAAATGCGTAAACAAAAACGGATTTTTTTTCAAATTATAATTTATAGATTATTTTTTATTTTGATCCTAAATTGTACATTTAAATATTTTCATTTTATAATTGATTATTAAAATTATATGAAATGAGAGCTGCATTTCACACTGGCGCCCATATAGACTAAAAAGACTCAAAAACCACTGAATTAATATGGAAACTTCACTCAATAATGCTTGAATATTATCTGTAGAAGAAGAAAAACACAGTCTTGTCTCCGGATGAATTATGATCCATTTAGATGGAACATCGTGGCCTGAATATTTGGTCATACGATTCTGTATAATTACAAACTTTTTAAGCAGTTCCATTGCAGGCTCTATTTTGATATACATTGTTTTGGAGCGGAGTGTGGATCCACGGTCTATGTGAAATATGGAAGAATAATTTTAAATTTCACATCTTCCTAGGATAGCTAAAGATGAGCGCTGTTCTGTAATAATAATCAGCATTTAATTGATGATGTTTTATTGAAAATATTAAATTAAAACTTGCTTTGCTATTTTAAAAATTCAAATACCCAAGTGGAATGCGTATTTCAAAACTTTTCGGTATACATTTCAATTGTCAACCAAAATTAAGAATAACTTGATTTTTTTTAAAACAACATATGTTTTTCTTTATTTCTTGAAAACTACCTAAATCAATCAAAACTAGTTTGCCATCAAAATTTATGGATATTTTTTGTGGTGGTGATGTTTTTGACTTCGATGATTTATGTTCACTGCAATCTGTTCATCTTCTAAGAATAATGATGCAAGTGTTGAATCTGGAATTATATTAAGTCATACTAAATCATGAATCAATCATTGATTTATTATTTAAATTTTAATTTTACTCCCAATTTCAATAGAACTTACGATGTATCAAACAATATACGTTAAACAAACAAACGAAAAAAGGAGAAATGATAGACATTGAAAATTTGATGATGTTGATGATGAAACCCAACGCTAAATCAAAAATATTATGAGGCTGTGGTAGAATTGAACGACAGTCCAAGGGTTAGATACTTTTTTTTAAAAAATTTGGAATTATTAATTCGTAAAGAGAAAATTATACCTTGGTCTATGGATTAAACAACCATAACAGTAATACATCTTCTGTCTGGTTTTCACTCCAATTGAACACAACGAAAATGTCCAATTCTCATTACAACAAACCATTTCCGTTCATTTTCTTTTCTTACCTTACGGAAAAATCTAGTCGTCGAAACTTTTTTTTTCTTCACATTTTTCTTTTGTTTTGTTCATTTATTGTATTGTGAATGTGTTTATTGAGTGTTTTAAACGGCGCACTCATTTTTATAACATTGTGACTTGATGAATTTGCAAAATCTAAAGAAAATGTGGCGGCAGGGTATTAATTACACTTATTAACATTAAATTCGTCATTTTGTTAAGTCATCTTTAAAACACACACGAAGGAATTTACTCGTTTATTTAGAATGTGTAAACATTCATTTCGTTTATACCAGGAAAATAGTAGTGTGAACTGTTGTTTATACGAAGCGTAGGATACATCTAACTAGACGCGCACTACAGCTTACCAGTAGAAACCAGGTAATAAAAAAGGTTTACGATTTGTGCTATTTTCGATGCAAAAATTATTATTAGACAGTTACAGTATATGAGAAAATGGTTGATTTTCGGTTGAAACTGCCATCAACTGGATTCATACGCAGCCATAGGTATGTTTAAAAGCATGCGAGTCACCACCATTTGAATTCATGACATATCGCAGCGGAAATGGTTTGCTGTATTTTATTCGTGTTATATATAGTAATTTATTTGTTAAAATGACAGAGAATTTGAATGAAGGGTATGGGGATGATTGCCGCCACCATATTGGCTCATATTATAAAAGATCTTGAACTACAACGATGTGAGACAAAATAAAATGTATTTAAAGACCCAAAACCAGTACCATAAGTCCTGTTTTGTTTTGTTAAATTTTTAATAAAATAATTTTATTGACTAAATAGTTTTTTTTTTAATAATGACTAATGAGAAGAAAATTCAAGTATTTAATTTTATAAATTATAATACAAAATTGAGCGGCGATGCCAAGTTCGACTGAACAATTTATTGGGGTTTATTTACGCATTGATTAGAAAAATCATAAAATACCTGCCTTGTTCTTATTCCGACAATTTTCCACAACTTACTTGTATTGTAAGGATATATATATAAAAGATAATTTTTGCATACGTAAGATATCATAAAAATCTTATTTCCAAAAAAATGAAAAGAAAATGGATACAACAACATAACGCGCGCAATTTCACCCAATAAATTTTAAATTTCATCGATACCAAAAATCACCACAATTAGTGTGTGAAACCCTTCACATTAACTTGATACTTATACTTCATTATTATTATTACTATTAATATTATTATTAATATATTTATTACTGTTTGATCAATGGATCTCTTTAGGTAATAAATTTCTTGTTTATTTATTGGCAATATGTTCATTAATATTTTGTCATCGATCAATTTTCTGATAATTAAATTGCTGTTGATTGTTGTATTTCAGTTGTGTGTTTTTTTTACAAAATTAAATAAATAAATAATGATCAATTAGGGGGTTTCTTTATGTTTTTTTAAGTAGTGGAAGATTAAAATGGCCAAAAGAAACCAAGGAGGATGGATAGATAATAGTTTATTATTTAGTTTACAATAAAAAAATGACGTCGAAATTTCTTATTTGTTTCAAATTTGATTGCTCCACTTGCCACATCTATAGCACCAATCGTTAGTCGAATCGCGTATTGATATTTGTTATTATTGACTTCTGTCGAATAATATTCAATAAAATTTCAAGTTAAATTATCAATCGTTCCATTCAAAATTTCGTCTCACTTTTACAGACTGTTTTTCGGACATTTAGAGATTGAAGCTCTTCCAAAAATAATTCCAGAGCAATTCGATGTGTTCTTTTTTTTTGCTTTTTCGCAGAGAAAAACAAAACAAACAAACAAAAAAATGCTCGATGTACGGGTAATTTATCTAATCTGCATTGGTATTGTACATTTTTTTCGCGATGGAATGTCTTAAACCATACTATATTTTATTATCATTGTTCTTTTTTTTCGCTTTTTTTCTTCGTTCTTTTACTATTTGTTTACTATGAAACTATTTTAACTGAACTATATGTTTTTTTTTTCCATTTACTCTCTCTCTCTCTCTCTCGTTCTATAAAAATAAAACACACTTTAAACATCATGCTGTCAATGAAATGAAACATTCAAAAGTTAGAAAAATGTGTGTAGAACAAACAAATGACAAATAAAGATGAGAGAACAATCGTATGAATCGAATTTCGATCGTCGTGGAATCGTTGAAGCAGATAATGCTTTTATTTTTGCCTTCGATTCATGAATAAATGAATGGATGTCGTTGTCAGGTGCGCGAATGAGCGAGCGCACGAGCACATCAACCGTATTCAAGCCAAAATGCGCCCGACATAAAAAGAACAACACATTTTTGTTCATTTTCGGGAGATGAGCGGACCTATGCGTCTACCGCACAAAAAAGAATCTGTTTGATGTGTATGTTTTACTTTTTTCTATTAAAATGGGATGTTAAAAATCGAGTTCTAAATTGACCAACAATTGTTGCTATAGGCGGCACCGTTTTTAGCAATAGTAACTCCCGTAATAATTATCGCCACAGTGATGTTGCTGTTGTCGTAGATCTTGATTATTTCGATACGTACTCGAGTGTATGTTTGTTGGATTTTTTGTTTCACATCGATTCCCCAGAAAGCCATCCGGACACCTACGAATAAATGTTAAAGGAGATGATAAAGAAAGAATTATAGATGTAAGGTTATTTATACATAATTCATGTAAAGCTACTTAAGTAACTAGTTAATTGCAAGTACGCGAATAAAAACACGTGCATGATCGATCACAACATAAACATGACTCTTCGATCGTTATTATTTCCTTGATTCGGAAAAAAGAATTCGTTTTTTATTTTTTAGACCAAACAAATTAATGTTTACGCTTATAATAGTAGCTACAGTAGCTCGTTAGCAATTCAATGTAAATTATAATTACACTATTTTAGGACGCGTCTTTTTTTGACGCGTCGTTCTTTTTTCATGGCACAATTTTTTGTTGGTCGAGCATTAACTAAACATTCTGGTCTCTCGCACTCGGTTTTTTATTATGCCAGTGACCGATTTCCTAAATTGGCCATGTACCATGTTTCTTTTTTTTCCCTCGCCGTCGTGTATTCACTATTATATAATGGCAAGGAAATGTTGTCTGCTTTTTTTTTCATATTTTTGTCCTCTTAGCCAGGGAGAGTGATCGTAATTGTTACATAAATAGCTCATCGGTAATGTTGAAATTGACCATACAGCAAGCCGTCTGGCTAGCACAGTTCACTCTAATGAAATGAGACCACATTTCCAAAAAGAAGCATTTTCCCCAAAAAAAAAAACATGTGTGTTCGGAATAGACGCAGAAAGATAGAAGTAAGTTTTAAAATACCATCAACAATTCAATGTATGAATGTTATTGATGAAAGAAACGTAGCAACCGTCGAAATTTAATTTGATTCTTCCAATTATTTTGCGTTTCATCTGCGCGTTGATCAACAAAAATCCAAACGGACGTATGCACCCGTATTATAAACGGATAAAAATAGAGAAAAGGAAAGAGAGAGAGAGAGAGAGAGAGAGCGTGAGTGAACGGAGTGCGCACACGGGCAAAAAGGCACGAGGATAGGTGAGATAGAGAAATCAGAATTAGTGGCACCGAAAGGAGAAAAGTGAAATAAAGCCATGTAGCATGATATACACACGCAATTGTATTGCGCCAATGTAAAGTGATCGACATTCGATTTCGAATACCAAACATGCATACAAAATTAACCGTGCTTAACCGTTAAAATTGTGTGAGTATCAGACATGGGGTGAAAACAATCAAACATACACACATGCTCTCTCGTGCACGGAGGTGTGAAATTTCAGTGTGTCATTAAGAGAGCAAATGTTACATATGACTATAGCTATGTCATTTGTGTGTTGTGCATTCAACAACAACAAACAAACAAAAATTATTTCACTTTACTATATTTTCGTTGTTGTTTTTGGGTTTGTGCATCTTCTGGCTCATTTCAAAATTTATTTCCATGTAAACATCACATTTTCATTCTGGTTGTCTTCACCAAGGCATATTTATGGTGTAATGCGTGATTTTAGTATAGTGTGGATTTTTGTTGTGCGCATTATGTCTTCATTCTGTTTTTTTTTTGTTAATATATCATCGAATATATACAAAAATATATAAATATTTTGAATTTTATGATGAATCTGAAATGAATAGCAGCAGTCAAAAGTGTGATTGGGGCGATTACATCAGAAGGGGTTGTTGAATAAATAAGCGCTTGCAGACACATTCGATATATTTACATCTGTTGTAAAATTATCTATTCTATCAAATACAAGAATTATCCACACTTTTTACTTTATTTTGAATGAACTACTCGAATTTGTTTGGAAATAGAGCAACTACGATGACTCCAATGAATAATAAATAAATAGTAATAGCAAAAAAAAAATTTAATTGTGTTTTCTTTTACTAATATTTATTTAAATAGTTCTATATAGATTCGTCCTGGAAAATGTATCTCAATAATATTTCGTTTTTGGTTTCTATCTGCCGTCTATGCCAATAACACGTTTAAAAGCTACAAAATTATACACATTTGTTATGTTTGGAATTCGTGTGTTCAGATTGGAGGTTGTGAAATTTGGCATCGCCAAGAGGAGAGAAAATTGAAAAGAAAATAAAAAACAAACTAAATCAACAATCACTGTCAATGAGCAGTGCTCGCATGACAGAATGCACATCGATTCCGCTAGATACTCAGATAATATGGGTGAGAGAAAAGAGAGAATCGTAGATAATGATGTGATGAAAAAGTGTAGCGATTAAGTCTATCGAACTGTCGACGAACTATACTAAAAATAGCTTTGCGCTCAATATTTACTAGTAGATGAATACGAGAAGGAAAGAGTGAACATATGCATGTTTGTGTATTTGTAGCGATTGAAAGAGCTCCACATGCATATGTTCAATGTACCTAATTCACCATCATTTCTGCCCGTTTTCCTTTCACAAACACGCACATATTATCAATAAACTAAACCTTTGTATACTCCCAATTATATTTTATTGTATATTGTACGCGCACACACACAAACACATTCTGGCCGAAAAAAAATTCTTAAGACGTTTCGGTAGTTGAACACCTCAATTTAAATTAATCGCTTTATTTGAAATCGAATAACGGTTATTTGTTGTGTATGGAAAGGGAAATTGAAATATGTTTTTATTGTCTGGGTGTATGTGTGAATCGAACACATAGAATGAATATAGAATTTGAATAATCGAACAAGAAACGAATTTCATCTGTAGCTTATGTTAATGTATGTTGAGACGTTTAAAAGGGTTCAAAACGGTGTGCGCATGAAGGTGAATGTGCAATTTATTTGTTATTTATCTTGTATATACCATCGAACGGCATTGCCAACGCGATCGTGCAATGTGTGTACATTTCAAACGCCTTATTTGCACACTAAAACTTGTTTGTGCGGACACTGTAGTGGAAATGTGCGATCACCTTGTGTAATGTGTTTGGTTTGACAAATGGTTTACGATTATTATTGTCACTTTTGATGTTTTGTTCAGTAAGCAATGTCGGTTATATCACATTGCGCATACTCGTACAGACCCCATAAAATGATATACTATTCAAAGTTTACTTACTTGCATGCTGGCTCTCCGACATCTTTGAAAAAGACACATGTACCACCATTCAAACAAAATGCATTTCCAATCACTGGACACGTCGAACCTGAGTGATTCCAATTATTATTCCCTACAATTGATCGAAAGGGAGAGGGAAAGAGAGTTGTATAGAAAATTAAATAATTATTTTAATGGAACGTACATTCATGCCTTTTATGTGAAAGACACGAAAGAAAAAAAAAGTCGCAACAAAATGCGAAAAGGAATTTTGTTTGTTAAAAACATGTGTCATAAATGAAATCGTAATAATTACTTGTATATTCTTGTGTTTTCGGTAACACGTCAATTCTGGTAAATTTCCTAATTGGTTGTCGTGCCAATTTGTTTTTCGCTCTACATTCGTAAAGTCCTGAGTCATTGACGAAAGCCGATTTGATAATAAGTTCTGATCGTCGTCTGAAAATAACATCGAAACAGAGATATAAAAAATTTGTGTTAACTTAGTGTTAGCCATTGCAATGCAATATTATAAATTGAATCGCCTCATTGAAACTGAATGAAATGGTGCTTGCGCGATTTTCATTCACAATTCGGTCACATACACTTACCTTAAATGTACAAATTGATATCTTGAACGATTTTTGGCTATGGATCGATCATCTTTGAACCATGTCACTTTTGGTGGCGGATGCCCTCGCACCTTACATACTATTCTCAGTCGCTTACCCTCTCTTATTGTTGCATTATTTGCCATTAGAGATTCAATATATGCACGTTGGCCTGCAAATTCAAAATAAACACAAAACCATTGAAATTTATTTTTAATTTATTCAAATTAAAAGGCTACTAGCACTAACAAAAACAAATCAATAAATCTTTTAGTTTCGCTTATTTCATTTGTACCAGATGAAAGTATTTAAAATTTTCGATATGCAACTGAATTTTTCTGACATCTAAACAACATCCGTTTGGAACTACAATCGCACCAACCGATTTTGTTTACAATATAATTTTGCTTTGTTTTTAAAAGGATTTCTTGAGGATTTCTTATATGTGAGTGTTTGTAGCGTGTTTTTGTATGACATTTTTCGTAAAGGATCATTGGTTGGAATGAAAAAATGTGGTTGGCTATAACGCATCGCAACATCCTGAAAACACCTGAAAACAATACCAAACACGCGATTCTACTGGGAAACCTGGCAGAAACGAAGAGAAAAGAGGCGAAAAATTTGGCTGGGAGGTTTGATATCGAGGAAAAGAATCATCTGAAGTCATATCCATTCAGTCCACCGCGTAATTCAACATGGCAATGGTACATTGAGTATCGTATCAAAATGCTACGAAAAGGAATGTCAGCATATGCAACGCGTAAATATTCACGAATAGATTTTGATCATTACATTAAGTCGAACAACGTCAATGATAAAATCGCTGTGACAGTGACCAGCAACATGCCGTCAATGATTATATTTGCCCCCAATCGGCCATTTGGATTGAAGAGATGGAAAAGATGTCCAGGATTGCGGAAATTTTTGGTGAGCGTCAAGAAACTTGGCCATTCAGTGGTGAAAATGGAAGATGAATGGGGAACATCACAAACATGCGCGAATTGCCAAGAATCATTTCCAGTGAACACAAAATCGCATCGATTTAAAGTGTGCTACGGTTGCAAAGCGAAACCGATTGCTGGACTACCGGACTCAGTCGCTAGTCTACGAGATATGATTGTGGCAACGGTTAGCAAACGTGCTTTGCTAAATAGATAAAAATGTGTGTCATCAATCAACAAAAATTACATTTCAACATTCGAAAAATTCTTCATTGAAGCAATACAACATTTTGTATAACAAAACAAAGTTAGAAAACACCGGTTGAAACGAATAAATTCCTGACATAATTGAATATTTTTTTCTCATTAAAGCAACTCAAAAGAAATAAGCAAAAAACTCATAAAATACATTGTATAAAAAAATTTATACGTTATTTCTTGTTAAAATTATAAAGAAAAACGGAACACGAAACGAGAAGTGTCAGTTATTACCCAGCTCCACATTAAATGGATGCTTAAAATGTTGAAATTTTTCCGTATTTTTTTTACTCATTTAATCGCTCTATTTTTTTCCTCAATTGAACCTCAACGAGGAAAGGTCCTCGTATACATATTTGTGACGTTAATGACAAACCGAAAAGCTGCCAATTCTTTTTATAAATAAAAATTCTACTAAAAATTGTGTTCGATAGGATAAACGTAAAGAATGAGACACTCTCAAAGTTAATGAGTTCTCTCACTTTCTTTCGTTTCATTGCTACTTGTGACATTTGCAGACGAATAAAATTATTCTATTCTGTGATTTAAAAATTATTGTTTCTCTTAGGATATTTGAAAGCTAGCTACGCCAGTATCATTACTATGAACAATTGAACATTGAGTAGGTCAGTTTGTGCTGTTTTGTGTATGTGACCAGTTGTGTTTTCTTTTCATATTAATTCAAAACAAATTTTTGGCGTTAGCTTAAAAGGTGTTATGATTATCAAAAATACTTTTTTTATATTAAGTTTCGTAAAATCGGACATTTGTATAAGTCAAGGTTAAAAAATACCGTAACGTAATTCTTTTCAGCATATTTAAAAATACCATTTCCACTCAATGTGTATTGTGTCGCATTTTCAAAAGTGTACATCATGTCATCATCTTCTTTTCATATAATAGTGGTTAAATACAAGACTCGCTGATCCGTATGCAGTTTCAGAATCAATTTGAAACGGTCGTATTGCTGAACATTTTTCGCTTCAAAATTCTTGAACTTAAGAAGTGTTTAAGCTTATCATACGATGTGAAAAAGGATATGTAAAAATATATTTGAATAATCAATTTTCCTTCACTTATTTATATTAAAAGTCAAACTCTAAAGAATGAAGAATTGAAAAAAAATTATCATTTCGATTGACGCTTCATAGTATTGGCCGCCGATGTGTATTAACGAAATTCAAATGAAGAATGACAAATCTTAAGGGAAAATTGCATGAATTTCAACCATTACACAATTCCAGCTTACTTTCCTTACGGATCGTGTTTTTTCTTCTTTTCTAATCTTCCTCTAAACAGGTTCTCTCTTACTGTAATTTGCAGAGAGTTAAAAACGCTGCCGCTATAATAATACTATATTAACAGTGCCTATAAATAGTTACTATTTGTAAACATTTCGATTGTGTGACCACATCAATTTTTGAGAACTCTAATGTGAACAATGTAACTCTTTGTATGTAGATTTCATTCTTGTCCGATCGAGTTTCCTGTGTCTTGTCCGAGTCCGACCGAGGCCTGACCCGAAATGTTTTTTTTTTTACCGAAATCCGTGATTCTTCGAACTCGAGCACTCGGTATTTATTTAACTTTCGGGTCTAAGGTCCCCGTTCTTTTTTAAGAAGATTTAACTGATACAAAAAATGAAAAAAAAAAATGGTTCTAACATTTTTTTTTTTTTCGTGTTTCGCGAGATTTTCTATATAATTTCCAAAAAACACTCGATTTCGGGCTGATCGGATTCGGACGCCCGTGATACTGAACGTCCGAAATATCTGAATAACCGAAGCATCTGGTCCGAATCCCGCCCGACCCAAACTTTTTTCGGGTCGGGCTCGGGCGATAATCGGTCGGGCGTTCGGGTCGGGGCCCCGTTGCGATCTCTGCTATTTATAGGCACTGTTAATATTGTATTACTATAGCGGTAGTGCTTTCTACTCTCTGGTCATTTGTTTTATAAGAGAAACTAATTTGAATCGTTAATCAAACAACAATTTGTCATTGTCGATTGAAGTTTTCCATCAGAAACACATCAAAGCGCAATCAAAAGTGTTTTCCATGAAAATGTATTTTCTGTTCAAATCCAATTTGATAGCTGCTTATAATCTTAAATGAAAGGGAGTTCAATTCACGCCACTCAAGTCTTTGATTGTTGCAAAAAAAACAACAACGTTCGTTGCAAATAGTTTTTGATGATTTGTTTACATAAAGTCATTCATGTGAAATCCATCATGCAGCCTTATAAATTCCTTGGAAAAATGTGTTTGTATAATATGTGAACACCACCTCTCGGCCATAATTTGCTTCGTATTTTGTAGTATAAAATGGAATAATCCCTTTGTTTGAATATCTGATATGCTTTTTCACGTTCGTAATGAGTCATATACATTTCACTTTAAATCTTAAAAAATCAGTCGAAACTGACCGGCTCGATTCATAATTAGAACATTCTCAGAAACGCTTACTTCATTCATGTGCAATTTTCTTAGTCATTTTTCGTATTTTGTCTGTGAAAAATTCATTAATATGTGTCTGTGATGGGATCTACATTTGCTTACTTATTCTCTTCACACTTTATTGTTTGCGGACCGTGTTGTTATCGAAAATATAATCCTGACCTAATTAAAATACAAATTTGTATCACACGAATAACAATAATATAACATGTCGGTTGTCATTGCTGTTTATTATATCAAATTGTTTATTAAGTCTACCGGAAGACAGGTATCAAACAAAGTTTTAATTCGTGAACATTTTGGAAAATATTTAAAACAATCCAACATCAAATCAAAGAATACATTTGATTATATGACTGTTTGTTCTGTTAAAGAATAAAAACTGTTATCAACGTCATTTATTGTTGTTGTTTGAAAAAAAAAGACAACAAACAAGAGGCAAATGCAAATTTACGCGGGTAAGTGTGTGTTTTCATATCTCTGCATAAGCTGCGCATACTTCCTATTTACAGTCAACTTATATCTTAATCAAATATAATAATTTAATATTCAACAAGACAAAACGAGCGAAAGAGAAAAAAAGGCCACCAATTGTTTTTGCGGTGGTTTAACAGGTGCTTTATTAATGTCAGAACTATAGCGAACAGAAGAGGAACAAAAAATAGAGCACCACACACACAATGTCATTCAAGAGCTCAAAGATCTCACGATTACTTAAGCAACTGTTCAAACAAAATATTTCATGCACTTTTGTTTATTTATCTTGCGCTTTGTTCGCAGACGCGCTCATAATAATAATTATGTTGACAATCATAACAAAAATTACAATAATTATAGATAAAAGAAACTCTCTCTCTCTCACGCACAATTGAAAAACGAAATAGAAAAAAAAACAAGACGAGATATATAAGAAAGAAAAATATGTGCCACACCGAGTCAAGAATAAATTCAACGCCATGAAAAATATGAGCTGATCCATGAACATCCGTCTCTATCCTCCTTCAGCAAATAAATGTTAGATCATTATTTGCAGTTATTTATGGAAGAAACAAAGTGAACGAGCTTAATCCAATTAATTAAATGACCAATATTGCGCATTTCTTCTCTTTTTTCAACTCGTCGCAAATTAAATTACTGATAAAATTATAATATTTTATCTTCATATGTGATTCACTGACAGGGAAATAAAATCATACTTCAACTTGCAGAGATTGGTCACAATTTTTGCAATGAAAAACATGTCTCTGTCTCGCAAAAATGTCTAGAATTTTAAGTATCATGATTCATTCATTGTATACACAAACAAAATGTATAAAAATCCAAATAAAATAACAAACATCAAATGAGAATAAAATCACGTGTTTCGATATGAATTGAGGTATTTCTTGTATTTAGAACAATTTATACACAATCTATATGTTTCACAAATCAAATAAATTGCAGAGAAATTGGACAAAAATGTATAAATTTCACCAATGTTTGAATATGTGTTGCCAAAAATCAATTATTAATTCGTTCAATAAATTTTCCAAGTTAATTTCAACAAATGAAACATTTCTCAACACTATTTGCCTGTTTTCTAATCATTTTTTTGTAATTCTCAGAATAGCCGCCGCATTTCATTATTTTTAAACTTCCGAAGTAAGTAAAAAACGAAGATTTTTTTTTTGTTTCAAAAATCATTGACCGAGCTTTGGTTCATCTGACGTGATTGCAAATTATAAAATTGTTTACATACTGGAAATGGAGCGTTTAAATATAATACAGAAATTGTTAATGCCTTAATATACATCATATATATCTAAATATAGAGAATGGTGGATTCGATTTTCGCAATGAAAAAATTTGCCTTTGTTAATTTAACATCCAATTTAACATTTGCTTCTTTGATCGGTGTAAGGTTTCTCGTTTATGTAAAATAAATTCAATAAATAAATAAAAATAAAATTTTGTTTAGGGAGCCACATTGCTGTGGTTTTCTCTTTTGTTTATGACAATAATGTGATCCATATTTCTTATACTGTCAACCGTATGCACATATCAAAATTATTCTTCCAGATATCATGCACACAAATCTTGTCCAAATGCATACGGTCCGTCCAACAGTAACACAACAGGGTTGTGTGTGATGAATTTTAATTGACTCGAATTGCTTCAAATATATTTATTGCCAATTCTTTAGATGTGCTTGGTATAGTTATGGGAAAATAAAATCTTAAGAACTTTTTGCACGAAAAAAAAAACAACAACTCAAAATGAATATTTCATTATCTCGTTTGAAAACCATTGAACTCTTTATATTCGTTTTATTCAAAGCACGATATGCCAAATTTCAAATTGAAACCAAATATGTACATGAATCAATCTTTCTTGTGATATTCCATTCAAATATGCCAAATATTCAGATGCTCAAATGTCGATTTTCGTTTCAAATTTGATAAAGAAAATTCAGTCAATTTGGCATTTACCACTATGACTACGGAGAAGATAGAAATCGATGTTTAGAAACAACATTTTTATTTTGTCAAACATATTTATAAAGAAAATAAAACGGAGACGAAACATCTATTTTTAAACTATACTACAAATGAGTTGTATAATATTCGAAAAGCCGGTCATATTACGAGTGAGACTCGTATCAGACGGAGAAATTTCATATATATATATATCATGATATATATAAATGACGGGCGGAATAAATGTGTCGGTCATTTAATTGATTTATTAAAGCAAAGAATTTCAAACAGACGATTATGTATGTATGTATGTGTGTACCTTTCGTAAAACAAAATAACGATATGGATTTTGCTATTGAAGTTGTCACTCTTTGCTTTCGTTTCGCTGTATCTTTCTAATTCGTTTAGTCTATAAGGAAAAATGACATATTCAAATCAGCAAACAAGATAGTCGGACCATTTAAAAAGACGTTAATTTTAGTTAAATTGAACGTTTCAAACAGAAAAGCAGTAGTATAGTCCATTATTTAGATATGATTTTGTTTTGATTTCTTTGAAACCGTGTAAAAAATATACAATAAAACAAATATGCGCTGAGATAATTTATTTCTTCACCTGTATCTGAATCTGAATCTACATGAGATGAAGTCTGCCTTTCGTAGTCATAACCATCTACAACAAAATAGAGACAAAAAATTCAAATATAAGCTATGCTATTGAATGTGTGATTATCCATTTGAAAAATTTGATTTGAATGTCATAACAGAGACGAAGTTGAAAAAAAAGCATCCAATTGAAGCAATTAACAGGAAGGCAATAACTCTATAAAATTTAATCCGATCATTTGTTTAGACAAAAAGGACTATTACTGCATTCAAAGCTCAATTTTTGCGCTGATATGAATCGATAAACATGAATATTTTCAGAATATTAAAAATGTATGGATGGAATAACATGACACATTGTATGAAAATCTCATCATTTAGGAATTTCTTTACACCTCGGTGACTCGTGACATTTTAGAAAAAAAAAATAATAATAAAGAAAAATAACAAGATGCGTGTCTGAAATTCGCATAACGAAGCAAGAAAAAAAAACAAAGTCGACTGATATTATCGGTGTGAAACCACCCACTTGTCTTCTTGTTACCATATCATACACACCTTACATTACATCCGATATGCCATAGAAATAATAGACATAGAAACTATGTGACGTGGTAACAGACGTAAACATCCAATCTGAATCAGCAACGTGCTTAAATTCTTTCAATCGAAATCACCATTCAGTCGCACAATGCAATTTCCTTGCGCATGTTTAAGTAATTCGAGAAGTCGAATATGTATTTCCTTTGTTATGATTAATGAACGTTATCTTGTTATGATTTCGTTCGCAATCATCATCACACACATATACAATCGCCCATACTCACAATATACAACAAATTTTAAAAGCAAATTTCTTTTTTTTTATTTATTTTCATTTTGCGAACATATTCTGACTGTAATATGTAAACACTTTTTGCACGAAAGAAGATTGTTTTCTAAAATTACAACACAGTAATATGCAATAAAAATAAAAGAAGAAGAGGAAGAAGAATAGAAAAAAAAGATCGGTGCAAAATAAAGGCTTTATGAATTTATACGATCCAATCGACGGAAAATCTGCATAAAGTAGAAGAATTCAAACAGTTTATTCAATTGTATCGCTTGTAAAACTGCTTTGAATCGTCTTCGAATTCGAATTGTTTTTATGATAACGGAGCCACGAGTCTTTATTATAAAATTGGATCATTGTACAAGTGATTTTCTTTTAAAAATCCAGTTAATCAATGATGAATTGTTGTCGTCGATTATTGAAAGAGATAAAATAAAAATATGCCGGAATTGCCAAATGTTTTGATTAAAAAGTCGCCGTTTTTGTTGATTATTGTTGCAGTTTTTTTTTCTTAAATAACTTGCATGACACATTGTCTTTCGCACATTGAATTTGTATTCAAATGATTACTCATGCTTGTACTGATATACCGACATATATGAAATTGTCTCATTTTGATGCGATATTGACGCAAAACAATATAATATTCATTTTGTTGAATGAAAGTGATTGCTCTTCTTTTTTTCTACATATTCCACTTCAGCAAATATATAACATGAATCACACATATTAATCATTCGATTAATCGATAATAATTTATCGATACGTTTTTACATTTATTTTGATTAACTTAACGTTAGTTTTAATGGCCACAGAGATGATGTAAGAAGGATGAGACATGAGTATAACGGATGACAGTGATTTTAATATTCCGAAATAAATTGGATGAGAAAGCTAATTGTTAAACGCACGCGCAAGGGATTAAACCAACTATGTTCGATTGGATGATATTATTTTGAATGATGGACTCAGTAGCAATTTACTGCATCGCGCGCACAATAACAAGCAACAATAATATCATTTCTGTCTGTTAAATTTTGAATTTTCTGCATTGCGCTTACCAAGTTTGTGAAAAAAATACACAAACGTAGAATAAGAATAACAACAAATAAAAAAATGTCTAACTATTTCTTCCTTTTATTTTCTTTTTGCTCTCTTTCTCAATTTCTTTTTTCCTATTATCATGTAAACATTAATGAATTTTACCGACCATGCAATTTCCTACTCCTCATTGTGTTTTGTTTTTTGTTTTCTTCATACATTTGCCCATCTTTCTTTCTCTGTCTTTGTATGTGTGTGTGTGTACACGAAAGAAAAAGAATTCTTTAAATTTACGCGTTTATTATCTTATTTCTCTCTACAACAGAATAATTATTGCTCTTAAAAGACATGTAAACATATAAACATATAAAATCGAAACAATGGTTTTCCATTTTTTTTCTATTTTTCGTTTCTGCATTTTTACAATGCCTACGAATTAAGAAAAAAAAACGAATAATAAGAAGAAGAAGTAGGGAAAAAAAGAACTGTTGTCAGTTCATCAAACCATCAAATCGTGATTATTAAAATAGGTTCATGAAATATACGACACAACAATGTTGAGAAAATGGCCAAGACATAAAGAAAACACACGTCGAGAAAATAATAAACGAATTTTTGCATGACATGCACACCCGCAAAAGAGTGTTCGCATTACATTTATATTCATATTCGTTTTCGCTTCGCTATCCAATTATTAACGATCAGTGATTTAAATCTTTTCTGTTGCTGCCGCTTTTCTTTCGTTCAAAACGAAAAGATAGCAAAACGAATAATATCACTCTCAAATGTTTTTTTCTTCTACACAGTGAAAGCGTTCAGAAAAGTTATTATTCTATTTGGAAAGGTTTATCGTCGAAACAAAACAATTAATTGACTCTATTTTTTTGTTCAGACGATTTTTGGTTAGATAAAACCAGGTATCATACTACATTAAAATTCAATAATGAACAAATATATACCATCATTCAGTAAATGAACATAATTTTGTCTTGAGAAATTTTTTTTGAGCCAAATACGTTTTGAAAATATAACCGAAGAACTTGCGTGTTATGACACATTTGTTTCTCTCTCGCAAACCTACAGGTCTGGTCATCTATACTGTTTCAGTGCAGATAAATATTTCTAATGACAATTACAATTGTGAATAGCTAAAACATTATTCAGCCAATTCATTTTCCAAAAAGAATTTCCCACATCGGAATGAAAAATCTCGTCAAAAATGAAACACATTGCATGTTGATTTGTTCTTTTTTTGTTCATTGAATGCTCATCGTGAAACAATAAAACTGAATAGCAGAGAAGAAGAAAAACGAACGTCGTTGTTGGCGGCGGTGTCGGCGGCGTCATCGTCATAATTATGAGTAAGAAAAATTGTATTGCAATTGATTGTGTCTTCAGAGTGCATGGATTGTAATTAAAATTAATTGGTGGTTACATGACTTGGGTGTCTTTATAATTACTCAGCCAGACAATCATATGTGTTACATATGATTGACTGAGAATAAAAATGGGATTTGACGGTGCTGAGCTTTCATACTCATATGAATACATACTTGAAGAGTGTTTTCAACGGTTTTTTTTTTGTTATATGCTCCGAAATGTTGCCGAAGACATTTCACATTCAGATCTCTTGATAGATGTCGGCTATTACCACATTTATTCTCAATCACTCATATACCGAATGAGCTATTGTGCATCATACATGCAACAAACCCTGCATATATAATTTGTTACGTAATTTAACATAAAAGCGACTAATTTAAATGATGCTCAAAGAATTTACAGCTGCGTTTACTATTAAACTGTCGGTCAATCGACGCACGAAAAAAAAATTCACGTATATTTAAGCATTGAAAAACTTTGAACCAAACAAATAATATGCAAAAATCAGATGTCAGTTTTTTCTGAAGCAAAATCAACCATTCGCTTCAATTCAGTGTAATGTAATTTTAAAATGAGATCTCTGGAGAAATGTGTGTTTTCTGATTTGAATACATGTTGAACAATTCTTGTAAATTAATTAAATTGAATGTGATTGAAAAAAAAAGAATAAAAAACGCAACATTTTTCTCGTTGTTTATTTGTTTCAAAAGTGCATTAGAATGAGGTAATTTGGGTGAAGGTCAAATGTATTTTTCATATGAAAGTCACAAATAACAACAAACAACTGCCTTTATGAATTACGATATTTACGAGAAACATAAAAAATGCTTTGTATTGCGATGAACGTAAGCCTTCAAATCGGAAGAATCTCAAACGAAACGAGTCGTCGCCTACATCGTCGAACATTTTCCGTGTTTTAAAAGAAAAGCTTTTTATTTTGATCGTGAGGATGTCGATGAATGTAAGCATTGGAAAGGATCCCAATTCTTTTTTTTTTACTTATAAAATGAATACGATCAATAACTAATTTGAACATTGGAATTTCACTTCTTTTGCTGTTGTTCTCTTGAAAATCATCGCAATTTGTTCGCTTTTTCAGCGCTTTTTTCATTGACGTAAAAATGAAATGTGACGACTTTTTCTTGTAAATGCACACAAAAAACATTCATTACAGGATATTTTACAGCAGCAAAACAACAAAGACTTTGTTCGATAACTTTTTTTCTTATTCAGGGGCAATTTGAAATATGAAACGTATTCATTTTTTTTTTTTGGAACACATATTGACATTGGCAAAAACATCGACATTCTCATAAATATTTATAAATTATATTTTATTCTTCTTTTATGACTACATAAATTCATGGTATATTTCGAACGTTGGAAAATGTTCAATGGTCATTACATAGTATTCTTGAAAAGAACGTAATACTGTAATTGAATGCAGTTTCGGTCAACGAATTTAGAAGAGAGATAGAGAGTGAAAAAACAAAAACACCGAACAAAACCAAATACCAACCGTCTAATTCGATCTATGGTTGCCTTGACTGGTCAATGCTTTATTCAATGCATATAATCGTTTTGGTGGAAAATAATTTAAAATTCAGTCAAGTTTTGAAATGTAAACTGGGCACCAGCGTCATCAAGCGTTCATCAGTTCACGTTCACATTAATTCGGGTTGAAATTTATTTACCATATTAAATTTTAAGTTAATAATTTGATGTGAGCTTCCTTGAAACACGTGTTTCGATTCAATCGAAATCACAAAATATGGTCAAGGATCTTGTTACTTGGTTTTTATACGTGACCTGAACTAGTTGTTAGTTGAACTAAACGTGCAATTCATCTACAACTAATTTTCACACTTCGTTTTAATTTAAAATGCAGCAGTTCTGCCCGATTAGCGAATAGAATGGTATTTCCGTTTGTGCTTGCACATGAAAAAAAAGTGACATATAACAAATCGAAGGTGAAACGCATTTTGTCGAATGTGTCCGATCAATTAATGTCCGCTACACAAGCTCACACATACACATTTACCTGCACATAGTTCATGAAGTGTGAATTTCGATGCGCTCAAAGAAAAATTCACCGGGCAATTATATATATATGTAGTAAGTAGAGAATGAAAACATTCACATAAATATTTCATGTAGTTAGGTAAAATCTGCCGTTTACATAGGAAAAGAGAGATAGAGGAAGAGAGATAGAGAGAAAAGCACACTCACAAAACTTGGGATATAATGTAATCTAACCTTGTAAAACTATATTTCGCATGTGGAACAGAAGACAGGTTAGAAGTAGCAACAAATACACACGGTGTGTATATCTCTAACTGAGACAAAGAAATACATGGAATTGAACGTTAATTCTGTATAAGCCTGTGCGAACCATGCGAAATTGTTACAATACAAAATGAAGAACTGCAAGCTTCATATGCAATACAAGTACACCACCAACCGAGGTGCAGCAAGGCGGCCAAGAGCAAAAATGCAACAAAAACAACAACAAAAACGCAACAGCCGCGGCAACAGCAGACACTGTATGTGACTAACAAAAATATACCTAAATATTTTGTAAATTTTGTCTCGTAACCACAAAGTAATTTAATATTCCTTTGATGATTGTTTTTATCGTCTGTGAAATCGCTACGTCAAAGGCATACTTTCAAGCACGTACAAACATGAGTATAATCCACACACAAATGCAACACTTAACGAAAAATCAGAACGGAATTGAAGATATGAAATAAAACTAAAAAAAAACCATCCAAACTAAAATAAAATAAAATAATGTAAATAAACATGAAAAAAAAAAGAAAATAAAAACAAAACTAAAGAATCTACAACAGAGAGTCACATGCTATTCGGTATTCGGTTAAGCGATGAATACGTAAAGTGAACAAGCACACAGCAGCAGCAACGACAACATCAACAGCAGTGTTCACCGATCGCGCGCGCTATATGCTGGAAAGACGTGGAAAAAGCGAGCAAAGAATGAAGACAATAGGTATGATTGAACTACGTACAATCGTCTGTGATTTTTTTTTTGCACTCTTTCATTGTCGTTGCTGTTGATCTCATTTTGGTGCATGCATTTATGTGAATGCTATTATAACTTAGTATATATCTATATAAATGTGTAAAGATACACCACAGTGAATTTTTTCTCTTCGCATCGTTTGCAACATTTTTTTTATTTGCGATTTTCAAAAATGGATCATCGATTTATGTTGAACAGTGATGTGAGCGCGCTCAAAATCAATCGATGACATGCCTTAATGTGCCCGAATGTATACAATTACAATTTTGCGTATTGTATTTTACCGCGCTTCATAAGTTCAGTGATCACCCGATCAATGATCGATATACGTATTTTAAATCTTGAACGATTTGTTATGCTTTTTCAATCAATCGGCATTGTCGTTTTTGATGATATTTGTTTAAATGCATTCAGAAAAGCGACAGAAAAAAAATAACAAAAACACAAACACCGCACAACAACGAATAATAATAAGTGATCCGTTTTTTTTTTCTCCTTCTCGGTTGATAATGTGAATGTAATATGGGAAATAAAAATACGAATAAAAAAAATCACAAGCCAGAAAGTAAAATATAAAGTGATATCACACGAAAAGAAAACGACAACAGAGAAAAAAAAACACAAACACACACATATATATGCAGGCAATTGTTTTCGCATTTTGGAAAAAGCAATAATTATGCACTTCCAATACATTTCATTGTTCAAATTGGATAGTGTTACCATATACAGATCACACCACTCAGATATACACCGAAAACCCGATAATAGTCCATACAGAGGACACACAAAACAAGAAGAATCTCAGCGTCAGTCGCCGCTCACAGATTGGCTGTGATGAATTTTTATCCCCTTTGATCCATATATGTCGACCGGCACAGAAAAAAAAAACAACCGCACCGAACTATATACGATGCAACAACAATAAAATCGCCAATTCGAATGAAGAAGAAACTTAAAACTACACAAAATACCATACAGTTTGCCACTTTTGTAATATTTTACATCATTCAATGTTGGATACGTAAATGTTTCATTTAAAGAAGTATTTATTTTCGTTCATTTAACAGAGTATCCAACACTTGCGATGATATTTCGAAGTGGTTACCATCCAAAACTGTTCAAAATTATGTTATTTTGTTTGAAATTTGGATATTTATTCCATCTATAGAATGTGATTACAAAACTGATACAGAGATTCACGTGTAGTTTAAGCATCAGGTCAAGTAACATTCTAGCGATAATTACTGATAATTGATAGATTTTTTTAATTTCAATCTTTATGCTTTTTTCTCTATCGTTTTGTATTTTCACTTTATAAATACCATTTGAGTACAGATGATGTATGTAAACATAAAAATGTGAAAAACACAATAAAACGAAAGTTTTATTCAAACCATTACCATTATTATACCATTAAACAATGAACGAATGGGTGCAATGCATTAATGTGAAAACTTTTAAAGCTTCTAAGTGATACAATCATCATTGACATTATCATTGAAATATTGATTTAAACAAATGGAATTTAAATGAATTAGACGGGCATTAATCATTGCAGAAATTTACATTGCAAGAAGCGTGTGTTTGTGATGGGCCTCATTGCAGCCAGTTCATCTACCCTTTTCTTCTTGCATTGTCTCATCTCAATGAGTTGTTTTTTTTTCTGTTAATTTACTGTCCCGTATGACATGAATTTAAGAAATAATTGATCGCAATGCATGTGATATTTCCTAGAGAAATATTTGCCAAATACGAAGAATTCAAATTTGGATGGATATCAAGTGATTTATTACATTTTAAAATGCACATTGGGTCAAAATAATTGCCATCATATATTTAGACGGATTTTTGCTAACGGTATACATAATATAAAAAAGTTAAAGTTTCCACTCAAGAATCGAGAAAATATACCCGATAATGATTTTAAATATTTCATTTTTATCCTAGAAGCTACAGAGTTTTATTATTTTATTGAATTTAAACTAAAATTTAAAATTTCTAAAAAAATGATTTGATTATTGAAATTAAAGAATTGCTAGATTTCCCTTTCGATTCGTTTGAAGTATTTTTTCTTCTTAATATTTTACCGTTGTTTTAGACACTTGAATGACCGTTAAGACCTAAAGACCTGTAACATTCTTACTAACAGCTTAACAAACTTTTATCGTTTTTTTAATTGCAAAAAATAATTATCAAATTACAAATTTTTGTTCAAATCATCAAAAATAACAATTCCATAATATATTAGGTCTTGTTGGAGGTTTTCTTTTTGAAATTAAATTATTATGATAGTTTACACTCATTTGAAACCCATTAACTTAATTTCAATGAATTTATCTTTAAGAAAATGGTGATTGAGATCAGAAGAGGTTAATTTAAATGATTATTGCCGGTGATTATGGCATAATTAATTACTGATTGTCTATGACTACTTTTTCACTCTCGCTCCCTCTCATTTGCCCTTTTCATTCAATTCGTCATATTTCTTCTTTACCAATGATCAAAAGCCATCAAAAAATGTAACGATTATGGCATCGGCCCTGATGACAAATGGAATTCGTCGCTACTCGATTGCATCAATTCACACGACTTGCATGTTTTTCGCAAAATTAACCTTAAGTCGGAATGCTGTTGTGCATATTTAACATATACGTCAGCATACCTACAAATGACTATATGTAATGTATATTTGAGACCAACTTGCAAATTTCGAAAAATGTAAGAGACAGAGACAGAGTTTACAAAAATACTAAAAAGTGAGATAGATAGAAAAAAAGGTAGATGGATTTATTGTTTTCAAATACATTCAGTGACCAGTGACCAGTGACCACTGACCACAACACAAATTATTAATGCTCATTGCAGATGTTTAATATAATAATTTAAACAGAAGCAAACAACTCATCCAGATAATTCGACGAAATTGTTACTTGTAGCTTGGCATGCATTTATTAATATTTGTATAAATGAAAAAGAAGATAATAAGATAACATTTTTGCGCTGGCATATTCCAATCTGAATCGCATGCATACGGTACACGTTACAGTTTTAAACATAAATCAGAAAGAAGAAGAAGAATTGCAATAAATTTATGCTAACGTTAATATGGCATTTTTTTTGTGTGGAATAACACGTCAAATGTCATCATTCGATTGTTGAATAGTTTGTCACTTTTACAAGCTGGAATAGTGTTCTTGGTCTAAAGTAATAAATATGTTGAATTCGCAATGGATATTATTCTTTTCCAAACAACAAACAATAAAAATCGGTGTTCTATCTAATAAGATTTTTATTTAGATATTGCAGGGACTGCGTTTCTTGTATTTTTTATGATTGATGAATTGATGAATATTTACAGTGTCAATTAGCATTTTCTTTTTTAAGTTGTACAAATAGCAAAACAATTTATATAAAATTGAAATGAATTCATTAATGGAAATGGTTTGTACTCACCATATTTTTCGGCAACACCCGTTCGTACATCTTTGTCGTTTTTTCGTGTTCGCTTGAATGGTTGCCCGAGAATCGTAAAATTGCCTAAGTCAATTTGATTCACAAATAAAATGTACAATTTCCCCGGTTCCAGTTCGTCACGTACATGGCCAATCGAACGAAATGTTTCACGATATATGTCACATTCACTAGAATTTTTATACGTAAACTTAAGTCTTATCAATGACGGAAGCTTGAGCCCAATTTGTCGTTTATAAATTTCCTTCACTTCGAATGTAACGGAAAAGTTTCGTCGACGATCGGAGCTCATTGATCGAACTTTTCCGGTAAATACTGTTGGCGCTTCAAATGCTAACGTTGTTGGATCGCGTGCCGAACAAAATCGACGCGGTCTTGGTGAATTTGCATTACCAAATGGCAAACCATTTATTCGGCTATTCGAAAATGGGCTAAGTCGCCCGATTGCGGTGTTTGACGTCGTTTTCAATTCAGATCTGGATTCACGACGATTACGTTCGACTTTTTGCGGTGATTGTTCTGCACCACTTTCATTTACCATGTCACTAAAAATTCGTTTTGAATTCATATATGCTAACGATGCGTCGATCAATTTACTCGTATTTTTTCTACTAAGTTCGCGAAGGTGATGGTTGTGGCTGGTATGATGATGGTTGGATGCATTTCGTATTTCAATGGCAATGATTTCATGCTTATTACTAGTATTGTTATTGTTGTTGTGGTGGTGTTCGTTAATCCAGTTGTAAAATATATTACTTCTATGATTATTATAATTACTACTCCTAATGCTATCGTTATTATATTTATTGGTTGTTTTTGGCAGCACTCGTGAATGTGGTTGTTGTTGGTTCTCTTCTTGTTGTTGTTGGTAGTGATGGAGAGTTTTTCGAACTAAATCGTGTTTCGTTCGTTTTATTCGTTGTTGTAATGACCAACGCTTTTGCGTATCATTCACATTTAGTTTGCGCAACAACAAACCATATGTTACGAAATCACTCGACGAAGAAGAAGAAGAAGCAGTAACAGAAGAAGACGGCCGTTCATCTTTTCGATCAATCATTTTACTATTGTAGATATCTTTATTGTGGCCATTATTATAATTGAATAAATTTGTTGCCATTTGATGATTTTCCTTTTCATCATTTGATGATGATGTGCGAATTTCATTCATTCGTTGAGTACGTTTTTCATTGCTATTGTGTATGTTATATATATATTTTTGGCTATTTTCATGCTTTGGAACATTTGAAAAATCAGTTAAATTGTTGATTTTTATTTGATGTTGTTGTGTTGAGCTACCGCCTACCACTGTATTATCGTGTTGATAATTTTCCCTGTGACTTCCTCTTAAATCACTAAACATCTTACTATTCGAGTGAACTGACGATGATGGTGCTGTCGAACTTGAACATTGGCACCAAGACACCAGTAATATGAGAACTGGCAACAATATAAATATTAGATTTTTAGCCAGACTCCTTTTGCGCAAATCGTGCGCATTCATGACGTTCTTTCAAAATCGACTCGTCGGATAAATGTTTATTGAGTGAATTTTGGTTAGTTTTTTTTCCTTGATTTTAATTCTTTATTTTCTTCACACTTGGAAGCAATGGTTTACTTATTTGCTATTTACTGTTGTTTTATTCCTTTCGTTTTTCACCGTCTTCGTACTTTTTCTACACAAAAAAATAATTATCCTGTTGCTTGACGGTGAAATGTTTCAAATAGTGTGCAAGCGGCATGTTCCTTTCTCTTCAAAAAATGCTTCTTGAGTTCAACTCTGGCCGTTTTTATTCTCTTTCTCTCTCTCTCCCTCTCTCTCTCTCTCTAACTGAAGCAAGTATTCATGCAATTTCTTGTCTCGAACCATTTAATTTGATATTGGCAAAATGTCACTTTTACGATCGATTGTTTAAACTTCGTAACTTCAAACATATCGAATTGAATTTTCCTCATTTTAGTGTGTGATTTATGAATTGAAAATATGAAAACATAAGGCCACTGGATATATCACGACATCATTCTGTTTCAATTTCAACAAAACCAGTGCGCGCGCACGACAAATCACTCTCAATGATATCTTCAATGCAGTATCTTCTTTGCTCTTTTTATACATATAGATATATGTATATCTACGATATTTATTTATTTTTTGTTTTAAATTTTGCGGGTGAATAAACTTCTAATAGTTTCGTTCCATTCGTACACTCTTTTTTTATTTTTGCTCGTCGGAGGAAAAGCGTGTCTATCTCGATTGCACGCGGTTTAATTTTGGTTTTTGTTTACAACGTGTAGACGCGCGTACACAATTTTCACACGCACACTTTATAACATTTGCTACTTTTAGCGTATCTCCTTTCAGTTCAAGTCAAATGGAGCACAAATTCAAAGAAGAACACTGTGAAAAACCGAACATTTTCAAAATAGGTATTCCATGTCTGTTCGTTATCTGTCGTTCTTTTTGAGTAATCACCGTTTCACCCATTCTGTCCTTCACGTTGTCGTTGCTGTTTATTTCTTCTCTCTTTTTTTTTCTTTTCTTCCGGTGAAATTGTGGATCAAGTACAATTTTTGCCAAATTTAATCAATTGAAATCGTTGCATCTACGTTTGACCGCGTTTGAATGTGTTCTTTTGTCTCTCTCTCTCTCACACTCTTTCACTCCCTCGTGCTCTCTTCTCTCTGGCTCATTCTTTCTTTTTTCTCATTCTTTCATCCGTTCGCATCTGTATACATGAAAATATCGTTGTTGCGCTTTTCTTGTCGATCGATGTTCTTTTTTATGCTTTGCTACAAAACTCTCTTTTCTAACATTTATTTCAACGTCGACGTAATCTATTGCTTAACGAACGCAGACTCTCTTTCTCTCATTGAAATTGTGTGTGGAGATCTTCGTGTGTCTATTTTTAAATTATTGTATTCACGACTTTTCAAAAGTTGTTTAGTGATTTATTAAAGTCTCTTTTTCGGATGATGAAAAATGCTATCTTTCTCAACTTCTGCGTTGATGAATCGCTGTTTTGCTTTAGGTAGCCTTTTCGACGGGATTTTTCTTTCTTTCGTTCTTTCTTACTTTCCTTCGTTCCTTTACTCATAAACCGTATTGTGTGATTTTCTGTGCGTGTTTTAAACCATCGTTTTTAATATGAAAATGAAACGGATGAAAACGAGTTAAAATGGAAGAAAATCCCGTAGCATGAAATAATATGAGACATGCATACACACTAAATTCGGAACTGGATATCCGAACTTTTTGCGAGAAACTTTTACTTCTCTCTGTTGAACAATTCACGAAATGAAAACCCTCTGTTTGGTTTGGAATAAAAAGCTTTCCAAAAATATATATATTTTTGATGCAAAATGATAATCGTAATAGATCGTCGTTTGGACTTTTAAGAAGAGAGATCCGATTAAGTCAATGAAGTTTGTTTCTTTGCTTTTCAACGCCTTATTATCCTTTTGGTATGGTTGTTTCACAAACAAAAAATAATAATCTTTGTTTCTTTGCGGTGTGTTATCCTTCACGGCCTAGTGCATCTTTCATCGTTGTACGGAAATTCAATTCATGATTGACTGCTTGGTGCATGCATCAAAATATGCTTTTTTCATATGTCCAGTATAGCAAAGCACTTATTTTTTTCTTGCTTTTTTATATGACCATTCCGATTATAACAGATTCTCTGTATCTGTTTGTCTCTAATTTTAACCCTTTGTCAATATAAATTGCGAAATCAAAATTTCAAACGTTCTTTGACGATTTTATTGCAAATAGATGCCCATGATTGCTTTGATCTCGATAAATCATGTCGTTAAATGTAATTACGATTGAATTGATTTACAAAAACACACTCACACACACACACTCTCTTTCTCTCTCGCTCTCGCTCTGTTAAATTCGCATATCATCGGGATGTGTAATCGGGAGTTGGTGCAAATAGAGGTGTGCGGAAGCAATCCTGATAAAATTAGACGGTACACTGAACGTCTTTCTTTCTCCTTTTTCTTCTTCTCTTTTTTATATTCTCCGATTACACGCGTTTCGTATAAGAGAAGTGCCCGAATATTATAGGATCAAATGCAATCGTGTATTTGAATGTCTTCGTATTGATGTGTGTGCGCGACGCGTTTCGAATTGAGTCAACAACATGACAACGATGTCTAATTTTCACCGATGTCAGACGACGGGGGCTTAACGAAAATGACGATGACTACGACGACAACCAAAACGTCGTCGACGATACACGGCAGTTAATTATGTTCTATATTTGCATTTTGTTTGTTCAATGTGTTTCGTCTTTAGACGTAAGAAAATGATCGCTGTTCATAAAAAATCACTCCTTCCACACTTAAATTCGTAACAGTGTTTCACTCGCTCAGATTAGAAAACACTTGGAAAATTGACGATTTTTTTATCGGGAAAATTGCTCATTTCTTAATTGCTTTACAATTGATACTTTTATTGCAACAATTTGTCTTATCAAAATGTTTATTAATAAAGAATCGATATTTATGTATTTAAAATGATTTATAAGGATCACTGGTTATATTTCACTTTTCCAAAAAAAAAAAAGGATTCTCCATCAAGTCAATATAATATTGAGAATTTTTATCAGTCCAATCAGCAGTTCGAACTAAGTTCCTTTTAACACGTTTTGTCTCTTTAAGTCGTTACATACACACACACACACAAAATAATTTCATAATATCATGAAAATGTTTTGCAATGAACGTTGTTATGATTTCAAATATGAAAGCTATTTTTGTTCAAACTGAATTCACTTTGACGGTTGTTATTTTTTTTTTTTTTTTTTTTGCTTTTCAAACTGACTTCTAAATCGAAAAATTTTGTAGAAAAATTGGTTATAATGTGTTTTGAAAATTGTTTGTCCTTTTGCGGGGGGAATTTCCCAAAAACAAAGTCCAATCTATGAAGAAGAAACCGAACAGAAATAACGTATATATCTGTGTTTGTGTGTGTTCAACAGACAAGCAATGCACAAATTTTTGAATTTTCCGTTTTAATTTTGTTTTTGCACTACATATGCACTCATGAATTCATTTAATGTTTTTGCAATGTTTGAATTGAATCCATCATTCGGCGGTTGCACAAATTACAAAGACAGGACAACAATGTTATTTATTCTAAAATTTTTTTAAATTGTTGTTATTGTTGTCGCCTCTCCTATAAATATTATCCGGGATAGTTTAAATTAGCCGGGATTGTTATCTATCTATTTTCCGAGTTTGTCCGTTAATGATATGAATACGCAATTTTTCTCTCATTATTTTGTGCTAAAAAGGTAATTTAATACACTTGATGGTTTTCTATATAAACATGTCAACGAACCACACACTATACCATGTGTGTGCAAGCAATTCTCAAAACTGAATCGTGTGTATACAATTTCTTTTCTTCTTCTTTTTTTATATTCTCTCTTCTGTATATTTTTCTTTTTGCTCAATTGTGCATCGAAAAACGTACGAACAGCTTGAATGTCGACTATAGACTGAGTGACCAAATGTAGTACACACAGTGAGTTGTGAAAATAAGAGCAAAATATAATATATGTATGGAAAGACAGCGAGAAAACAAAAAAATTAAGTAAAATGTGTACAGCGGCAACGGTAACAGCAGCAGTAACAACAACAACAACATTCATCAGCAGCAGCTACAGTAACCGACGAAAATGTGTGCACATAAAAGAGCTAGAAAGAGAACGACGGAACAACAGCTAGCGGCCACAACGTAATACTGAAAAAGCATGAGCTCGGTAAGCTGTATGAGCCAACACAGAGTGTTGTGTGTGTGTCTGTGTGTAGTAGTGAATGATGTGTGTTCGCTGTTGCTTCTCTCTGAATGTGCATGTCTCTCGCACGCTCATATGTGAAGTTCCTGCCTCTGTGTAGATTTTATGTGTGTATTTATATATATATATATATATATATGCCTTTCAATCATTACCCGAAATGAATGGTGTTTGTAAATACTATACGTGCAATGCGGTTTCCAGAAATGGAACACGGCCCGTTAAAAATCGAAACAACAACAAAAAAATGGCTCAATTTCTTGTGCGAAAATCACGAGGAATGTCTTTATCATTTTCATTCGATTTGAAAAAAAAAAAAAATCCAACACACGCACCGCTTAAACTGGTCAAATTCGGATGTATATCGGAAATAATTCCTGGTTAGAGTTAAAGCCAGAAATCGAGTACGAATGGGATAAGTCAAAATCACCCACTGCGAGACAGCATGAAGCATGATTCTCTCAAGAAACAAAAATTTATTCCATTTCATTCAGTTTTATGAACGTTTATTGGCATCGTTTTTCACAATGCGCCTTCCTTTTTAATTCCCCGGAAAATAGCGGACAAATTCATTTTGTCGATGTTCATTGCATAGTTCGATTTGACAAAATTACTTACTATTGGGATAGCATTCAATATTAATGATGAAATTAAATTAAAATTTATGAACGACCCTCATGTTAGCCACTAAGACATAATTGTATTAATTCAATAACACTCTATTTTCGAATGGCATGAATATTTTGCTGAATTTTTGGCCTAAAATGTGCACCACACAAATCGTAAATTAAATTCATTCTTTTTTACTGTGTACCACACACACGCTTCACAATTTATTGTCATTCACTTGTATCCTTATGATGACTTATGATTCTGATATGCTCAACCATTGTATATTTCCAATGTGCATGTACATGACAAATGGATTTCTTATCATAAATAAAGAGTAGACAGTAATGATAATATAAAATCGGTCGAGATTTCATCGCACAAAGTAATCTATAGATAGATAGGTTGTATTTTAAAAATGGTCAATACTACACGTACTCAATTAACCTTACTATTTATTCAGTTCTTTTGTGTGCATGCACCACAATTCCAGTTGAGAATCAATATATGGCATATCGCATAAAATGATTCCTAGAAAAAATAAGTGACCAAAGACAATTTGTGAGCATTTCTTTTAAACGCCGACACGAACTTTACTATTATCAATCATGCTTGACCACGAATGCAATGGTTTGGATTTACTTATACGATCGCATAGAATTCAATATTCCGTTGGTCGGTTTTCGTTCATCAAATCACATATATTTATCAAATTTCCAGGGAAAATACGCTTTTGGAATGGAAATTTTTACACACATACATGCATATGTAATCAGAGTTCATCGGAAAGGATGTCGGAAATTCATTAGACTCGATTCCAAAAGTGTCAATCATCAATGGATTGAGATGTTGTTCAATTCCTTTCAGTTGATATTCGGAGAATGTTTTTAATTCCAAACTCCTATCTTCGGTTGAAATTCAAATTAAATGCATTCATTTGAGCATGTTTATTTGTTTAACACCCTTAACGAAAAATACGTGTGTAAATCGTGTTTATTGCTTTCGTTGTACTGCTGTCCTTGTGCACATCGAGTAAATACGTGCCATTAGTGCCACAACACATCGGACACGCATCGATTTCTTCCACTAAAATCGTGTGTATCTGTATGGGAAAAATGTCATAAAATAACCGAAAATCGAATTTCATCGAATCGTCTGATAAATAACAAAAAATAAAATAAAAACGAACGTGCGTAAATATCAACTCAGATAAATAGGGAAAAAATCAGAACATATGGTGGGGGTGAGTGCCAAAATGTAATTGTGTTTGATTTAATAAAAAGATTTGCACAAAAATTAGTCATTGGTCATTGCTATCAAAACTGCAACGTTTCACGGCATCTCGTTGCCAATTCGTCATGAGTACGAGAAAATGTCGATTTGTTTGGTTTTTTAAACTATCAACAACGGTGATTATCTTATCAGCTAGTCAATGAAATAAAAAAAAAATTAACCGAGATACAGAATTCAAAGCTTTGCTTCGATATCAATAGTTTTGACTTGTCATTATCAACATGATAGTTTAATAAAAGAAATACTTATAAGAAGTGCAAGAGATATAAAAGTGTATGTCGATTGATACTTGTGAAAGCATACCATCCATTTAACAATCTGCATTCTCTGTATCAACTTGATTTGGCCAAATAAAGAAAAGTTTTCTTTTTATTCAATTGTTCTCTTCGATCCAACGCACAAAACAGGATAGAGAGACACGAGGTGAGCGAGTGTGTACGTGTGTGTGTGTGTGTGTGAGAGAGAGAGAAAGAGAAGTCAACATCGTATAATGGCATCTCGCACTCCATAGAAAACTGATTGTGTTAAAACATAATCAACCAATGATCAACGAACGAATTACATTATACATTTACGTTTACCAGTTTTCATTCGATGTGAACGATACGTTTTTGTCTTTTTCGATAAATGGTAATTTAAAATAAAGCACAAAATGTCAAATCACAGCAGGTATCAAGCATGCTTAATTTTTTAAAAGCACCCGATTTCACATCACATCCCATTTCTCACATTGTAGCAAAAAAAACGCATCACAATCGAAATTAAGCACGCAAATTCACAGCACCTGGAATCCACAGGAATGAGCCAACATTTTTTGGCCGTCTGTGCATTGCAACACTGTACAATCATTTTTAACGTTATCAAATTAACTCTTTCTATTTATGAGAAATCAACATTCTCAATCTATAATTTTTGTATTCATCCCACTAATAATTTGGGTATCATAGAGGTAATTCGTTTTATTTCCTAGGGGGCAGACACGTGGAATAGGATTAGACTTTTAGTGTAAAGATTCGAGAAATTGCAATAAAATAGCAACGAAATAGCAACGCCTGTGAATGGATTCGCGTGGAATAGCGAAACAGTGCATGGAATAGCAAAAATTGTTTCACTTCAAATCCATTTGATATTTCTTTTGACGTTTATTGATGGATTAGTGGAATCTAGGGGAATTTATCTGTTCGCGAATATATATTATTCGATGGTACATATACTATGCATATTTTAAGAATAATGCATTGAATGTACGTATTTTGCGAATATTCGCAGTGAATATACGCAAAATATACGCAATATTCACAGTGTTTTGATTGAGATAAAAACCCCTAGAGTGGAATAGTGCGAAATAGCAGAATTAACATTTTTGACGGAAACAGTGCATGGAATAGGAAAAATAGTTTCGATTTCACATTTGTGTTTTTGGATTAGTGGAATAGCTGGATTAGTAATTTATATAGTGGATTCGGAATTTATTCTTGGTGTCTACCCCCTAGTTTATTTCACATAATTAATTAAAAAAGAAGGCGATTACAATATTTAAAAAATAATAGTTTTTTTTTGTTGAAGCGGAAATGTGATAAATTTGCACAAATTTTATTGCAACTCTGTGTGAAAGTGTAATCTCATTGCTTCAATTATGAGAATTTTCCTTTCAATATATTTATATGTGTGAGTGTGTGAAAAAGTTGTGATCGTTCTTGCGATAATTTTGCGATGGCTATTTAAAACGACAAAAACACAACCAAAATCAAATGTGGAATCTGAAGATCGCGCAAATAATGGCAGAAAAATATGCCAAATATAAGATTCTGTGCAATCAAATTAATCTTTTTATCGTTTTCGATCGATTTGATACTTTCGCTCGGTGCATATCTTCTTCTATTGTCTTCATGAGGTATAAAACCAAATAGTGACATTCACATCCAGAATTACCCACTGATACAGAACAATGAGCTCAACAATTCGCGTCATGGAAGAAAAAGTGTGCACACTGAAAAAATCACAATTTCTTTCC